CATACTCCCTAGTCACATGATCTTCTGTAAGGAAGAAATCCTTGGATCGCCTAGCTACCCTAAGCGATCCCCATTTGCTATAAGAAATCTGAATGTGCCTGTCGAGGGTTGCGCCTCTTATTATGACAAGTATCACGTGAACACGTGATTCGTGACATATAACTAGAAATAGTACTACTACTATAACTAGATAGTACTACTACTAAATACTTTAATTCTATATCGTAAATTTAAGAGTTATATAAGTGTTAATACCTCTTTTAAGACCCCCCTAAAAATTAATAGTAATATTTTTAGTAATAGCTAGCGATTTTGCTTAATAGCTAAGCCTTATAATAGTTAAAGCGCCCTTGATTCTAATACCTCGCTTAAGAGCTTACGCCTTTTAATAGTTAAAAAGCTTGGCTATCACCTAAGAGCCAAAAGGAGTTTAACTACCACGTGATAATTAAAATTCATTAGTCATTAGTTAAGAATCTATAGAGACTGCACTTGCACCACCCATTTTCTATAAGGTGCGTCTTCCCACGGCGCTGTCGCTTGTGGTCAGGTGAAGCAAGTGGCGTGTAGAAGCAAGTGTCGTCTTACCTAGGGTTCTTCTATTTAAGTTAATTTTTGAGTTAAAAGCTTCTATATAGGCTTAAAAGAAAGCTATTAGTTAGTTCCATAAGAGTAGAGAAAATTAGATAAATATAACTACGACGTATTAATTTATATAGATACGAAAAGAAAGAGACCCTTCGAGAGTATAAAGTACGTATTTTGTAGGGCGTACGTACTGCACCCCACGAAAATCAAGTCTACTACCTAGGTATCGGAATTGAATAAACTTATCTACATCGTACGCAAATTGTATTCAAAAGTTAAACCCTTTTAGTATAGGACAGTAGTTAATTACGTCTACAAGTCTATCCTATTTATATGTCTTTCTGATAAGTAGAAGTAGCGTTATATAGGTAAATAAGCTGTATACGTATGCCCACACGCGACACTTGCTTCACCTGACCACAAGCGACAGCGTCGTGGGAATACGCACTGACTATTATTTGGGTGGGCTCAAGGTGGGCTAAAAATGGTCTCGGATCGGGTTCGGTTGACGGCAAGGGGGATGGACGACATCGTTATTCTAAGCGATTCCACCGGAAAGACGACAACCGGATTGAAAATTAACAAGAGGAATGGTGAGGATGCCATGAATTATATATTCAACTTTTCACTTCTTCGCAACGCACTTGACTGAAAGAAAATAGATCAAGCGCACCAGAATAGATGAGCTTGGGGAATTAATTAATTCATGTGCCTTTCTGGGCCACGACTGATATGACTGAGTGCTATTACAGTGAGTTGGTAGCGAGATGTTGGTTTGTTGTTTTAAAGATGGGAGACGCCAATCCAAGTTTATTACCTCGCGGCTTCTTATCTTCGAAGGGGGATATTGAGAAGCCCTGGCTTTGAACCAACTCGTGGCTGGTTGGGTATATGTTGTTGTCTCCTCCCCGGTCGAAGAGCAGTAAGCTGATGCTGCGGATATAACCTGGTATTTAAGGTGTGATCTTTGCAACACTGTAACACGGAGTTTCTTGGAAATCTTCATCGTAGCCGCTTCCACATGTGCGAACGAAAGATGTCGATGTTGGTTATTTTATATCGCTGTGCTCGATTACGGTCGGTGATGGAAGCAAGGCAAGTAGAAGATCATCTCAGAAGAATCGAATGTTTACAAGTTTCTGAACTCTCCAGCTGATGACATTTCAGATAGTAGCGAAGTCTGGCACGTGATATTTCTCGATATACGAGTACTATTTTTCATGCTCAAGTAGATACTTGCGAGCTGCAGATTTAGGTAATAAGCCTCTATTACATGCCTTTAGTCTTCCAAAATCTCCAGGTTTGCGGTGAACAGAAAAGGCAGTGTGGTACATGGCCCTCTATCGTATCTTAGTTCGAAACATTCATTTGTTCTATTCTCTTTAAACAATGAAATCCAACCGAAGATTCGCGGACAATAATATATGGGATAATCGCTTGCACTTAACCTCAAAAAGAGAAGCAGTGAGAACTTGGTCACTGTGATTTCTAGTTCACTACTAATCAGGATATTTCATGTAACGGCAATGGATAAAACTCCCACCTAATTAATTAATAACGATAGAAAAGCCACTTGTATACCACTTTTCTAGTAAAAGAATATTAGCTCAATGGGTAAAAGTTGTGTCTAAAGGTACTAAAGTACTTAATATACCATACTCTTGCGCCCTCTGTACGCTAGAATCGTGTTTCAACGCTTAACTTATACTAAAAGCGCGTATCCCTTCCAGACACCAGAGTGCCAAAAAACGTGCAGTCCTGGATAGAGTTAGTGGATACGATAAATGGGTTAAATCAAGGCTTAAATGCCTGAAAACGGGACCCGGTTAGCCAAACGACTTTGATTTAGAGAGAAAATGTCATAAAAGTGAACAGATTAACTCCACTTTGGAGTACAGCTATTTACTGGCACTCTGTTATCTGGAAGGGATACCACGACTTCTAATTGTACACGATGTAACATGACAAGAAGACGAAAGAACGACGCATATATAACATATCTACGTAAGGACATGCCCAAAGACTTGGAGTTATTAGTGGTAGAGTATAGTAGTGGAATGTAGTAGTAAAATATATCATAAGGTGGTTTTATATTCAATAACTCCATACGTTAATACTAAATAGACATTTGAATAATATACTGGTAATGATCGTATTACTAAAAACTAATTAACTAGTATTTATATTAATAGCCACTCGTTTAATTCAGAAAAAGTAGTACTCGATCTTGTATAAGGCAGTTCATATGGACAAAGTTGGTAATGAAACTTTTTTTCAAATTATTTAATTTGTTTTAGGGATAATAATCCACAGGGTTTTTTATACCTACGACTAGTTTTAGAATATTTCAGCTATTATATATCAGGCACTTACAGGTTATTACAAGCACTTTCTATGACTTAAGATCTATAAACTTTATAAAATAATAGTTTATAATTTAAAGGCGAGAGGAGTAATTAATCCCTTTCTTATATACGACGAGCTAAAGAACAACGAGCAATAACCTTAGAGGCTATACATGTAATATACTAGGCCCGATCCAGGACCTCTAACAACTCCTCTATCTTACTTATACTATCTATCTCTTCCTCTAACGTCTCGAAAGCTAAGATAGTTAGTATAGAGTATAAGAAAGAAGTAAGTTACTTATACTTTAGGATAGGCTAGAGAAGCTCTACTTCTATAGAAATAAGTAGTTAAGTTTATTATTAGATAAAATTTATTAATTAATATTTTATAACTATATTAGATAATATCTTATATAACTCTTATAGTTATCTATAGACTCCTACAGTTATTTATAGAACTAGTAAATACTAGATAGATTTTAAAAAGAAGGAACTAAAATATTTTAAAACTAGCCGTAGCTATATTAGACCCTGTAGATTATAAATCTAAATAGAATAACTTATAAATAATTCGAAAAAAAGTTTCATTGCTAACTTTGTCTATATGAACTGCCTTACTTGTACTTTCTTAGCATTCTCTTATTATTAGCCACAAACGTTTCACTAAGGTGTAAAGTTATTAAGAGTCTTCGAATAGGCAAATACATCACTGTTGTTGAAATCCGTGATGAAACTAAATTTGCTGCAAGTCTCTTTCGGGAAATTTACCTATCTGAGATGGAGCCCGTGAGCCGAGGTCGTCGTCGTTTAGTTAGGGAACCAATGAAGCCTGCCATTCGTTGTCGCAATCATATTAAATCATTAAGAACCAGTATTTTCAGTCGCCGAGTAATTAGTGTCATATCTGTCAGCGGGTGATACCTGGAACTTGATGAAGTCCATTTCCAAGTTTCAGCCACTCTTGTGATCACAACGACACTTCCGTTTTCCAGGTAACTTCGTCCACTTTCCAGTCTAGATTTCACAACACCAACTTATTAAATTTTTATGACTCGAAAGCGTCAAGAGTACCGCATTTACGCGAAGGTCATTGTCGGCCAGAACGCAGCCTTACTCCAGCCGAACCAATAATGACTTTTGTCGCAAAGACCACGCGTTACTCCATTCTGTAAGATCCACGGGATCTATGACTCTCGCTTCAAAGTTGTGATACCCCGCAATCTACCAGTAGGCTGATTATCTCTACAATTGCCTTGCTGTCATCCCGCACTGGCAGGGCTATTTCATACCGCTCCACGGCTTCCATTAAATAAGGGGATAACGTTCTCCCTGTGGACAAAATAAGCGGCAATCTTGGCGGTAGTTGTTTTGCGTAAACGGCGTGGACGGCTCGGGGTCGCACTTTACAAGTTAATAGTACGTCTCGGCCCCGATTTTCAACGAAACCAGCGAATTGGAGACCCAATTTATGTAAATATAAACTTTTTCACGAATGGCCTGCGTTACATGGAGCCCTCATAGCTATCCACTCTCATTTCTTAAAACAACCTAAAATTCGTACAAGACCGCCACTTACTTCGTTCACCAGGAGAAGCTTCTAACCTTTCACAGCAACGATCACCACTATCCCGCAAGGTCCAACATAAGCAAAGAGTTTATCCGGCATTAGGTTTGTGGTCAACCTTTCCCATGGCGCCCATGGCGGGGTTCAACGGACTTCATGGTTACATTGCGGCATGCATAACTTGGGGAATCTATACGAATTGGCCAGTCTCACGAAGTGCCTTTTTTCGTGTGCATGGGTTAAGTAATCTTTCTATCCAATGATGGTAATCTTTTTGATGGGTATCGATCGGATCTTTATTTTCATTTATCCAGAGCTCCCTTTAGCCGGAGCTACAATGAATACTCTTGACGAGGGTTCTTGAGTCGGCAAGAAATAATATAAGCTTGTGTATCCCGCTTCGCAATGCTCTGCTGCTCATTTTAAGCCTACAGTCAATATTATTTCAAGCTGTTTGCTGAAACATCTATTTCAGTTTACTTATACGGTACTTTGCAAAGATGGTCTCAGGCGCTGCTGCTCCGGGTATATATGGTGCAGCTCTCATCAGGCGTCAGAACCTGATGGACGCAAGTGGTCCTGGCGCCCTGGTGAAGAATTTCAGAGTTTTCAGTATCGCCATGTTCGCATGTGTAGGCGGACTTCTCTATGGTAGATATTCCATTTCACCGGAAGGAGCAAAGCTAAGCATGAATAGGTTACAACCAAGGAGTCTTCTCAGGGGTTCTAACTATGCAATCTTTTAAAGACCATATGGGAAATTATGATACTGATTTACCAGAAGACCAAGCTCGAAAAGGTTGGCTTACCTCGATTCTCGAACTCGGTGCTTGGTTAGGATGTTTACTTTCTGGGTTCATGGCTGAGGTATTCTCGAGAAAACGTGGTATCTTGTTCGCAACAGGAGTGTTCATGCTGGGAGTTGTCATTCAAACTACAGCAATCAGTGGAAAGCACAATTCGATTCTTGCCGGTCGCTTCATCACGTAAGCTATTGAAAGTAGAGTAGTTATGAGAGCAATTGCTAATATACGACAGCGGAATGGGTGTTGGGTCTCTTTCCATGATTGTACCAATGTACAACGCCGAAGTCGCACCTCCCGAAGTCCGTGGCTCTTTGATCGCTCTTCAACAGCTTGCCATTTGTTTCGGTATTATGATTTCGTTCTGGATTGACTATGGAACCAACTACATTGGAGGAACGGGGGAAACACAAGCTGAAGCCGCATGGCTCGTTCCAATCTGTCTGCAGCTTTTCCCAGCGGCAGTTTTATTTGGCGGTATTCTATTCATGCCATTCTCACCTCGTTGGCTCGTTCATCATGATCGTGAAGCCGAAGCGAGAAAGGTTCTAGCTCATCTGCGCGACCTACCCCAAGACCATGAGCTCGTGGAGCTCGAATTCCTTGAGATCAAAGCGCAATCGATGTTCGAGAAGCGTACTGTGGCAGAGCATTTCCCACACCTTTCCAACCCGACAGCCTGGAATGTCTTCAAATTGCAATTCGTTGCTATCGGATCTCTATTTAAAACCAAAGCTATGTTCAAACGTGTCATTGTCGCTACGGTTACTATGGTGAGTGTTTCCTGACGTCTAATTTCTCTTTCGGACCTTTTCCTCCCAGGTACGGGAATGACTGAGACACTATCTTTTTATCCGACAGTAGTTACAACCCCAAACATTTATTGAAAGAAGATACTGACTCTTCTGTCTTCAACAGTTTTTTCAACAATGGACGGGTATCAATGCTGTTCTATACTATGCACCAACTATCTTCAAATCTCTTGGCATGGGTTCCAATACCACCTCTCTACTCGCTACCGGCGTTGTGGGAATCGTCATGTTTATCGCAACCATCCCGTCAGTTCTCTACATCGACAAGCTAGGAAGAAAACCAATCTTGACGATTGGCGCAATCGGAATGGCTTCCTGTCACATTGTAATTGCCGGCATTGTTGCAAAATACAGAGATAGCTGGGAAACCAACCAAGCAGCTGGATGGGGAGCCGTAGCTATGGTCTGGCTGTTTGTCGTCCATTTCGGATATAGTTGGGGACCTTGTGCATGGATTATCGTTGCCGAGATCTGGCCACTATCAAATCGCCCTTATGGAATTGCTTTGGGTGCGAGTTCGAATTGGATGAACAACTTTATTGTTGGACAGGTGAGACTTCCACGCTCTCGACTTTGCACCATGCTAACAACTCATAGGTGACACCGGATATGATCTCCGGTATCTCATACGGTACATACCTCGTCTTTGGAATTCTGACTTTCGGGGGAGCTGGTTTTGTTTGGTGGTTCGTTCCAGAAACGAAACGTCTTACGCTCGAAGAGATGGATATTATCTTTGGTTCTGAGGGGACTGCTCAGGCGGACTTTGAGAGGATGGATGAAATCAATAAAGAGATTGGGTTGGATAGAATCTCGCATAGGGCGGAGATGAAGGATGAGAAACACAGTGGAGTTCACGACGAGAAGATTGTCAAGGAGGAATGATTTGGCTCAAAAATGGCGATAGCAGTAAACCTCATATTCGTTCATGGAATATCTAATTTCAAATTTAATGTTGATGAGGTAAATTTGCCATATTCCACGCTTGAGAGATCTTCGCTTAAGGGCCTGGGCCTGGAATGGAACACCTATAGCACTGTGGAGTACGACGTAGAGTCAGGATTCCCTGAGATTCCTTGAGATGGCAAATTAACTAACCTCGATTATTAGTCACGTGCGAGAGGCTTGCACTAATTTCATCTTTGTTTTCCTTACTTCTTATCCTTTAACATCGCCGTTTCGGGTTATCTACGAGCAACGTCATAGTCCCGACTCGTACATTCAAGCACGTTCATTTGGGGAACTTTGCGGCACAATTATCGTTTCCAATATTTCAAGAATTTTCTACTCGCATTTGCAATGTACACGTTTGATTTAGGCGAGGTTGCCAGTGGCGTCAGATTCTTGACGCCAGATACTTCTGGAATGTAGTTCATTTCTCATAACATCCATTGGTTTCCTGAAGAATGCTGTCCACCTCGCAGCTTTTTTCTTTGTTTTCCCCTCATCCTCTGCGTTTCTTTGGAGTTTTTCAAGACCTTCGGTCGCAACATTTCTTCTTACAGCTGAGAAAACCTCCCAACTCAACAATCATCTCATTGAGTAGTTGAATCTGTAAACCAAGATGGCGCGGTCGGGCAGCAATCCTCCGCCTAGGAGCTCTCCTAGAAAACGGTCTAGGCCAACAGAAGATGAGTTTGAGAACAAGGAAGGCGATGGAGAGGTCGAGGAGCAGCCAGCATTAAAAAAGACGCAGTTTGGACTCTTCCCAAGGCTCATGAGTATGTTTGGGGCTGCCGCCAATACTCCAGCGGAGTTTGAGGAGGCTGTTCGAAAAAGTATTCCACCTGAGAAGGCTGAGGAAGCGGCCCCGTCAATGTCAGACCGAGAAAGGAGCACTTTCATTGCAAATATGATTGATGAACGCCATGCAGAGATTCAAGCCAAAGAGGCGGATGAAGCGCTTCGTGACCCCAAGCGAAAGCTGGCGTGGAATCCGAACATCAAGACTACTGATAACGACTGGATTGACTTTTCTGACATGATCCACGATGAATTGCAAAAGAAAGCCGTGATAGATGTTCTTGAGGCACATTTCGAAGATGGTCAGATTTCGATCATTCAACCCATGGGAATTGATGGAGCGGTACTGCAGATTCAAAACGAACATACTGCACTGTACAACGCAAACATTGCAAAGGGTGGCAAATACTTTGGATGTGGTAATAATCTTACGACCAAGTTGACAATGTTGCACTTTGGTTTGCCCGTCGAACCAATGACAAAAAACAACATTCTCGGATGTGGGAAAGGGAAGGACGAGGACGACCCCCCTGACGAGGAAGAGGATGAATTTCAGAGATATGAGAGAATCTACTATGCTCAAAAGCCCCTGGACTTCTTGGACACTTATTGGGAAAGAGGCCACGGTTACCCAATTTTGCGACGTATGTATATTAATATAAATAGATGGCTGTTACTAACGGAAACCAGGAAATAAGCCAGAGAACGTGAGGATGAGGGGCGGCGCTGGCGCTCCCGAGGAAATCAGTCAACGCGACTTTGAGTCTGGAACTGTTCATTTGCGTGGTGGTGCCAGTAACTCAAGGACATCACCAAGGAAAAAGTCCAACAACTCAACTGGTAAATCACCTGCCAAAAACGCTGGGACAATCAATGTTGAAAAAGACGCAATTGGGAATCTCATGCCAGGAGAACTTTTTCCACCTAGTCTCGGTCCAAGAGACAACTTCAACAGAGAGAGAATCTTGAAGCAGAGAGCAGCAGAGCTGAAAATACAAAAGTATGACCCTTGGCTCGCAGAGCAACGTCGACAAGATCGTCTCCAGAGAGAGTCCTACTATAAAGATCATCATGCGGTGCTTCCAGGCCAAAAACCTGAGCCACCACTCTACGGCATGGTGCGTGAACTCATGCTCAATGTCACCGATGCGCAGCCTACAATCTACAGTCAACGCATCACTCCAACAGATATCAATGCCATTCTGGATGAGAACCAAAGAGCGAGAAACAAGATTCTTGAGAGAATGGACGTCTGTACATTGTGCGACGAATCGTTCCCCAAGTTTCAACGCGAGGACTGGCGTGTTCACTTGGTGAAGCATGCAGAACAAATGGCAACTGCTGGGAAGTGCCCCGTCTGCGCCACAGACCAATGGACTCTGATGAATATGGATCAAAAGAAGAGACATATCGTTTACCATCAGGATTTGGCGGGATATCGACATGTCATGTGGGACGTCGACAAATGTCCAGTTTGTGAGGAGGAATTTTCTAAACTTGGGCATGCTGAGGATGTCGTTTATCATTTAGCTGAGCATCAGCCCGGTATTATTCGCTTCTGCGATCGATGTGGTCTCGAGAAGTTCGCATGCTCTACTTCTGAACTCTATAGACACAAGACAATGTGCATTGAGGGGCCGGAACGGCCTCGAAAAGACCCCGAGCTCCTTTTCTGTGAACTTTGCGGCAAGGATCGGACAAACGAAACCGAGCAGGAGCTCATCGATCACAGAAAAAAGTGTAGCTTCACAAATCGGGGATATTTCTGTCGGAAATGTGGTCTTGACATGACCAACCTGTCATTGGAGAATCGAAGACGTCACGTGGGACGTTGCAAGCCACCAAGGGGAGTTAAAGGGAAACATTGTCAAAGATGCGGCATGGATAAGAGTCAGTTGGATCAACTGGGGCTCCTGCAACACGATAGAACTTGTGCCTTCAATGAGGAGAAACATCCTTCCGCACAGGAGTTGATTGAAGGTTTGTGATTCCATCAGAGTTTGGCTTGAAAGGCGGGTAAACTAATTGATTACACAGAGATGAAAGCAAAGATCGAGAGACAAGACGAATTGCTCAGAAAAAGCCAAGCAGCAGCGGTCGAAGGTATGTGCTTTGACATCCTATTGTGCCAGGACTGAAAGGAAACTAACCAACTCGTCCAAAAAGCGAATTTTACAGGAGTCGGGTTTTGTCCTCAGGTTGGCTGTATTGTTGACTTAAGCAATTTCGCTGGCTATCAAATCGTAGAACATATGGCAGAACATTTACGAAATGCGAGTATGGTTCCCAATACTCCGGCACCCTCTTCTCCAGGGATGGATCTTCATGATCGATTCGACCAGTATTCTGACGATGAGGGCGATGACAATGACGATCAAGGTGACCAAACTGTCACCCGATCTCCACCATTCTTCACAAGACTAACGCCGTCTCCTGCAAAAACTACGTCAGCGAGTCCCGCCAAAAAGACACCTAAAGCTTCTACAATCAAAACCACAAAGCCGGCTAAATCAAAAATCACAACCAAGAAGGCTGCTACAGGTGGAAAACAGAAATACAAGGAGCCGGATTCAGCTAATGACGATGAAGAGGAATCCGACGAGTTGGTACAACCTGCAGAAGATGATGAATCAGAATCAGAACCAGACTTCACCCCTAGTAAGAACAGCATTGACAAGAAACGAAAGCTCTATGATAAAGTTGGAGACGATTCAGATAGTAATCCGGTCTACGAAACAGAAGAGTACCTCGGCGATACAGATGACGGGCAATCGATCAAGAAAAAGCTCTATAGAAGGTTCAGGGGAGCGGATGGTCAATGGGTTTATCAGACGGATCTCTCAGACGAGTCAATTCCCTCGGACGAAATCTCTTCGGAATACACAGATGGGGGCTCTCGCATCCCAAAAGGAACCCGAGGTGACAGTCATCGAGCCGCCGCCTTGAAGGCCCAGAATAAGAGGAAGTTGAAAACGAAGCCCAAGGCACCATCGACACAAACGGAAGACTCTGATTCCATATCTAACCCTAGACAAAAGCAAAAGCCGAAGTCACCTACCAAGAAACCTACCAAGCCAACACCCACGAAGCCGGCAACTAAAGCACCTGGCAAGCAGCCGTCTATCTCATCCAACGAATACTATTACGATGCAGATATTGAGCGGAGACGAAGAAGAAAAGAAGCCGCGGCCATAGCCGCAGCCCTAGCCGCAACTGCAACTGGGACAGGCAAGCCAGCAACTAAAACACCTGTCAAGAAGCCATCCGCTAAACCGGCTACGCCGTCTAACGACTCCCTTGACGACCCTTTTGCTTCAGATATTGAGCGGGGACGGAAGAGGAAAGCTGGGGTGCCGGAAGAGGAAGACCCCCCCGAAAATGAGATCTACAGCGAGCCCGAGAGCGAGGATGACGAAGAAGGGAAAGCTGGAGATGATGGAGGAAGCGTTGGTGGTGATTCTAAGAAGACGGCATCTTCGATTTCCAAGACCGATTCCGGTTCCGATATTTCAGGTTTTGATGCTGGGTATTATGAGTCTGGATCTGATATTGATGACAAAGATCTCAATCCAGATAATGTTGTCAAGGGCACCGGCAAAAACATCATTGGAAAGAAGTCAAAGAAAGACAAAGATAATCCTTACCGCTACACGACACTCTCCGACATCCCCATCGAACAGCGAATATTATGGACTGAAGAAGATATCGAGCTTGTCACCAAGCGCTTGGAACAGGGGCCACTCTCTCCTAGATGGATCAAGAATAAGAAAGTGGTGCCTTTTTACTCGGACAAGGATTCTCCTACGCGCAACCTGGGCACAAACATAACCCCTGAATCTGTTCCAGATGTTGATGTGACGTCCCCAATCAGAAAGCCCACACGTCGTGGTACTCGTACTAAGACTCCCACCACTTCAGCTACAATAGGTACTTCTCGTGTTACCAAAAAGACCACCCCAGCGCCGAAGAAGACTACCACGGCGCCAAAGAAGACACCAGGCCGGAAGCCCTCCGCCGCCAAACCAGTGAAGGAATAAATTGTTGAAGTTTGGGTTTTCTTTTCTCTTTCCTTTAATTTTGACTCCTTGATTATTTTCTTTGGGGGACTGGATTTGATTTGGTTTGATGGAATTAATGGAGGTTGGAGGTTTAAATTATGTTTATTTTAGGTCTTTTGTCAATTCAATCTTTTCTAATACACCTTCTTTTCACTTTTCTTTTTGCTCACGGTGATTCCGCAGTTTATGTTGATAGACTGCCATTTCGACCAGAGGTTGAAAAGTAAAAGGGCCCCGTAGTATAAAATAATATTATCAGTCCCGCAAATTTCAAGTTGTCTATCATTATCCCTACTCCAGGGAAATATCGGAATCCAGACTGTCCACATTGCTAAGCGAGCTTCCTCGCGATTGTCAGGACAACCAGCAAAAAGGCATACACATACTCCAGTGCCCGCAATTTGAATCGGTCGATTCAAAGCCAAAAGCAGCTGTGCTATGCGAAGCTACCGTCTTCTGTATCCAGGAATGTATTGCTACCAGCAACGAGAAGCCACAAAACGCCACCTGCTAACCGAACCCGGCGTCTCGGTTCTTGCTCCCCATAAACATAACAGCAAATCATACGACACCTCTGCAAACGGAAGATACAATTTTTGTTATTTAATGACAGGGTTTCGCCATGCTAGTTCTTTGCTTCCTTGCAATTCAGCGTCATCTTCAAAAATCAATTATCTGATCCAAAGTTGTTGCCACAGAATAAGGATTCACATCTGCCCGCTAGCCAATCAATACACCCGCAAGCACGTTAGCAAACTCATACATCCTTCAACATGGGAGGCGGAACGAAAGTTGTCTCCATCCTCCTCCGCTTCTTCCAGCTCTGCTCAGCAGCAGTTGTAGCTGGAGTAGTTAGTCATTTCATCTACCTATTCCACAAAGGAGACGGTCACGTCCACTCCAAACTACTTTTCACCATATCCCTTGCAGGAATCGCACTGTTTTTCTCCATCGTCCTCCTCTTCCCGGCAAGATGGACCTTCTGGGCTTTCGCTCTTGACTTCGCTATCTTCGTTATGTGGATGGTGTCTTTTGGTCTCCTGGAAGATCTAGGAGGCGGCCACACTTGTTCGGCATACTGGCAGTGGAATTACTGGGGTTATTATTGGGGCGGCTTCTGGAATTATCCAAATAATGTCACTTCGGCTGTCGTCAATTCAGCGGGGTGTAATCAGTGGAGAGCTACAATGGCATTTATCTTCTTGGGTGGAATCGCTTGGTTGTTGAGTGCTGCTTTGGTAAGTTTGATTATCCCAGTCCTTTACGGTGGTGTCTTAAGACGGATGCTAATTACTTTCAGGGCGTCATTGCTGTTGCTACTGCTAGAGATGAAAGGAAGGAGGGACTTACGAAGGTTAATAAGAACAACCACGTGATGACTGAGAGCACGGTTTAAACTAATTTCGGGTTATTTCTCTGTTCGAGTACATGATATCCCTGGTTTGGCTACGGTGTTGGGAGTTGGACCTTTGCTTTCATGTTCAGACATAATATTTTGTAATGACTTAGTATCTTGACTTCTAAAATAATAGTAATGTTGTAATGGGATACATGCTTATTAAAAATTTCGGTGATATGCTATAGCTCCAATTTTGAATGAGGGAATTGATTGTTTCTTTTTGGCTTCAATAGGCCCGGGATTTCCAGCTTTGGTGTAATTGTGAAGTCGGTCCTATGCTCTTTGTATTTCTTCCTTTTATTGCATACTTGCAACTATAATGACTTTCGCTGATTATGACGGCCGAGAGATGGCTACTATGACAAGAAATCCTAGGCCCTTTGTTTCTCGTTCTTGGCCCCTTATACACCAACTTATACACCACATTTTGAAGGGGAATCGTCTTCGCTCGGGTATCGTACGCTGCTTGACGGATTAATCATTGCGTTGTGGCGATGAAATAAAGGACAATGCAAAAATCGCGTAGTTTGGAAATATGGCTTCATGAAGCCTCTTTAATCAGTCTCTGTTGATCATTTGTGGTGCAAAAAATAACTTGAACTCGCTTCCCAAGCGGGCCGGTCTCAGCCAACATTGGTTGTGCGTGTGGTCGTCAATTTGAAGGTACCACGAAAAAAACATGGGAAGTCCCTCGATAACATTCTGCTTACATGTAACTCTCCTTTCACTAGAACTATAGGATGTTGAGATATGGATGGGAAAAGGAGGCACTGACGGGATTAATCACGTGACACTACCTAGGTCACGAGTGTTATCGTTACTCAAAACTCCAGCTGCTATTAAGATCATGACGGGCACCTGTGTTATGTTCTAAAGGAATAGTAAAAACAAGACCTTTTTAACTAAAAAGAAGATCAACCCCCCCGGAAAACTAAAAATAGATTCTGCCCCCGATCTTATAATCCGCCAAGTCCACAAATGGGGCTTCTGACTTCACACCGCTTTCCGATTTTTAATCTTCGGATCAGATAAGATCTTCACCTTGTGTGATGGATCGGTGATATGGTTTGTGGTTTCAGCTATGCTTTTAATCTTCATTCTCATTCATTACATCACTTTAGCCTCAGCGAGAGCCAGTTTACAACAAGATGAATACTGCTTCGTAGCTTGTCAGCAGATCCTTCGGGGTGTGCGGTTCAACAACACAGCTCCGAAGACCGGACAACCATGGCCGGCTTGTGGGAACGAACTGGAGTTTACATCTTTGTACTTGTGCAACAAACTGTATTGTACGGATGATGAACGGAGGAGGGGAATCGATGGCTTGAATGAGAGATGTCGGAGATTTTACAATGCTACGGCTCCGCCCTATTCTCTCATTGATGGGTTCACGGGTGATGAAATTTTGGAGCTTCATCATCTGGAGGTTGGAGAATTGAATAGAGAGGCGCCGAGTATTCATAACGAAGTTCTTGTGCCATCGAAAGAGCTTTATGGCCTCGCCTGGGATACATTGGTAATTCTCCAGATCACCTCAAAATGGCTTTGCTGACCTTGATTGAAGGATGCTGCTTATTTTGAGTTGGATATTCATATAATATATGGCTTTGCTATGTATTATTTCTGGGTGGCGGTCGTTTCTATTGGTGTAATATCACGTTTGATACGACTGGGTCTCAATTCTATGAGCCCCATGCAAGCATGGCAAGAAATCCCTAGTGATCCTCACATCGAAAACTCAGTCGCAAAGCGAATATATCATCCCTATACTATGCTGAAAAGATACATAACTGTACCAGCAACATTCGGTTTTACGCACGCCCAGAACATCAAATGGTGCACGGTACCTACCCGCATCCAAAGTATTGCTATTGCTGCTTTTGTCATTTCCAACATCGTTCTTTGCTCAGTCAGTTATCATGTTTTTGAAGACAATTTATAGTAAGCCTTTTACCTCGGTCATAAAATGTACCTAAAGTTTATAGCTGGCCAAATGTTTCGACGCAAGTTTGGAGATATGTTGCCGATAGAACTGGGATCATTTCAACCGCAAATCTTGCTCTCATTTGGGCTTTTGGAATCAGAAATAATACTCTACTTTGGTTAACTGGCTGGAATTTTGCTACCTACAACAACTTTCATCGATGGGTTGCGAGAGTTGCGACGGTTGAAGCCGTCGTGCATTCCGTTGCTTACACAGTCTTAATTTTTGAGAGTATGCTATATAACAGACCTTTTGCTTTCCTTAAGTGGGGGTAGCCTTTTTGTAGGCCTTTTTCATCATTCAAATAGCTGACAGTAGTTAGATGGAACCTGGTCAGCAGCATGGCAAGTCTACGCTGATTATTACCAAAGTCGGTGGTTTGTTGCTGGCGTTTTGGTAAGTTTATTCGGCCCACCATGATGAGTCTCTGACACAATGTATAGGCAACAGTTTTTATGGTGGGAGTATGCGCCTTCTCAGTTTATCCATTACGCCGCAAGCTTTATGAGATATTTCTGTTCTTGCATATCGTTCTATCAATTTTAATTCTAGCGACAATGTGGTAGTAAGTTATTGCCCATCCAACCCCTAATGTAATCTCAGGCTAATATTTTCCAGCCATGTGGAGATCTTTAATGGAGATTACAGTGGTTTCATATGGCCTTGCGTATTCATCTGGACTTTTGATCGACTCTCACGAATCGCTCGAATGCTTCTATTTAACCGAAGATTTTGGAACACACAGGCACAAGTCACCTATGATTCCACATCCAATATCATCCGCCTTGTCGTTCCATACTCAACATCATTCATCAAACCTCCACCCGGAACATTCTACTTCATAAGCGTCCTAAACGACAGAATTTGGGAAAGCCATCCCTTCACACTCAGCTATTCGACTTCCAATGACACCTCCTCACCTTCTTCATCTCTTGGAACAATAACACCTCCTTCTAGGCCCTCAAGCCTCTCCAGATCAAGAGGAAACTCTTCAGAATCTCAAACCCTCCTTTCACCATCCCAATCCGAAACACCACCCGCCTCAATGGTCTTCATAATTCGTCCCTATAATGGCTTCACATCCCGCCTGCGGAGCCATGCAAACTCATCTTCAACGCGTGTACTGATCGAAGGGCCTTATGGGGAAACACAGCCTTTTGAGAAGTACCGAAATGTCCTCTTCATAGTAGGCGGGACTGGTATTGCTGTTCCTCTTTCTTACATGGATACTCTTTTAAAGTCTTCCTCTACAACCTCAATCAAAGTCATATGGGCAGTACGAGAGCATCAATTTTTGCATGATGCTATAATAAGAGATTTCAGAGGTGCGATTGGGAGTGAGAAATTGAGTCTGGAGGCATATATCACTAATGATAGTGGAGTTGAAGAGATAAAAGATGATCTCGGATTGAAGGTTCGTATTGGGAGGCCTGATGTTTTTCAAGAGGTTGAAGAAGCTGCTCGAGAGTCTGGGGGAAGGCCATTGGCAGTTGTTGCTTGTGGACCAGGGCTGATGGCTGATGAGACTAGGAGGGCTTTTGTGCAGATGTTGGAGAGGGGATATGGGAATGTGGAGTATTTTGAGGAGAGCTTTAACTGGTGAAGGGTAATTTTTTAGTGATTTTCATCGGATTTAAACCGTGCCTCGGAGATTATTTAATGTTAAACGGAAATCTGGTACAGAAGAATATAAAATGTTTCTTCTATAATAAAGCACAAAAGCCCAACGCATAAGGCTAGTATGAACCAACCATCCCCCCCCCTTCCCCTCTATCATCCTCTCTCAAACTCAATAGAGGCACTCAACACTTAGTGCTAACCCAATAAGCTCACATAATTGTTGATAATCCTGGCAAGCTCAGTATCAAAGTAACACAATATCCCTACCAGTTCCTCATCTTTTCCAGTGATCCCAAAACTGCTCACGCCAAAACAGCCATTAATACCGTTGTAGCAACACTTCCAAAGAATCGGTAGGATGTTCCCTGCCCCTGGTCGGGCTCCTAATGTATCAAGGGATACAACCCCTTTCATAAATCCCTGTAACGTTTCCTCGTTGATTGGGCGATTCTCCTCGTCCACAATGGCATCGAATTCGCAGTGAAAATTAGGTAAGTTAAGAAGTCCTCCATTTGGCACGGCTATAGAATAATACGTCAGCAAGGGGGAATATCTACTACCAACACACATTTCGGCGGTTAACTTGCCAGTAATGATGTGTTTGCCTGTTACATTTGGTGCAATGTTGCCGCAATCTTCGGTGAGTCTGATGAGAAGACTGACTGGAGGTGGTTGTGCGATGGCCATGCCAGTTGTACTGCTGGGTAGAGAGTCCGTAATCTTCACGCTTAAAAAGAATTCTGTACATTTTAGCGGTTGATCCTCTGCTGACGGGATTGCAGTTGAGAGTGATAGAATTGTGAGCATGATAATTTGAAGTATTAAATGCATTGTATTTGTCCCTTAAGCTTGAAAATACCAGATGTTGAAGTGATCGAAACGCAGAAAATTAAGGGAATGGTAGTTGGTGGGAAGCGCACCGAACCGCCTTTTCTTCTTACGGTCTTATACGAATGAAGCCTTCGATTCTGTCGTCTCTACAAATAGACTGCTGGGACAGTGGCTGAGGTCTTGAGTGTCAGCAATTCGGTTGGATTATTGCACACACCAGAAACCTGGCACATTCTCGAATTCAAGAAATGGAAATACTAGTGCCCAGAAACAATTTTTCAAGGCTGAGTCTGTGCTATTTCAGGATTTCACATCACGATACGTTTTGTTTGTGTTGGATCCCAGATTCCTGGGTCGCCTAAGCCACACTTCATTTCCTAGCCGAGTTGGTTGCAATACAGCTCAACGAATTGAGATATCCGCCATGTTTGTTCGAAACTAAAATGCCAAGAATACCATTCACTCAACTAAGAACAAAAAAACCTTTCAGAGTAGTGTTGGAAGGATTAAAAGGTGATGAAAAATGTTGCAGTTGAGCTGACACCTGCGACCATGTTGAGGTCAAATTTCAACAGGGCGTTCCTCTCCTTTCGACAAGTGCTCAAAACTGGTCTTTCCCCTCTTAGAAAAGGGAAAAAGAAAAATACACCACACAGCTGATTTGTAAATTGATTGCCCTTTCTTTTCTCTGTGGGACTTCGGAACACACCATTTTCATAGGTATAGTTGGGGTTATCTTCAGCTTAGAATATTTCAGTGTAACTGAACGTGAAATAAAAGGGGAGTGGGCTTAGGTAGCACTCAAATTTCCCATAATATCAATCTGGAATATATTCGCAAGTCCGGATTAAACGAGAGAAGCATGCTCCAGATTGTAATCAGGGGTTCCCAAAGGACTTTCGGATGGGTGGACTGAAGTCGGTCGAGATTACCAAGTCAAACACTACAGCACAAATCGGATGATACAGTTCAAAGCCACACCCGATGGAAGTCGCAGTAAAGTTAAGCGTTAAAATTGATAAATCCCGTTCTGTAGCACGGTCAATGTACAATTGTCGATCTACGATTGCCGACCGTTCCCCTAGAGAAATTCAAATAGGGGCTTGCAAGGAGGAACGATATACGGTGGGAACTTACAGACGATTCTATGGCTTCTAGAGCACGAATGAGGGCGGGGGAAGACTCTAATAGATAGGCGGTACTTTCAGTTAGCTTAAACCTTCACGTAGAAGTATAACCTTAAGCTCTAGGTACTTGGATCAGATAAATGTACTTAGAAATCGACGTACCCAATTCCTGGCTCAAACCTAGGTCGCTAAGTCAATAAGTACCGAGTGCGTAGTAGTACTAGTAGCAGCATACCTTTTGTTGTAATAAAACATCTACAGAGAGTCAATGGTATCTACCAGAATAGCATTGACTCCTGTGATCGGCAGGAATGCGATGACTATTTGAAGGCAATTATCGACAGAGAAGAATAGTATCAAAGATACTAGTGTCAATTGGCCTGATGTAAATCTGGGAGTTGCCTTCATACTTTGAGCGGCACAGCAGAAGTTTTACAAATTCACACGTGCAAGCTACATATTACCTAAGGTTACTGGAAATAAATATAGTGGAACTTGGAAAAACTGTAGTCTAGACCAACCAAACGCGCAGCGGGCAGCGGAACGGGCAAGCTGCATTCAGTTTCGATTCATCCGAGCTACGTTTGACGTAGCAAAATGAACACCGCACTTCTCCATTGTTGGGGTAGGACCATAGCTTCGGAAAGTGATCAAGTTGGGATTTGACATGGATTGTTGGAACTTGAACAGGTACCCCGCACTACGTCCATAGCGAGAGGAGAAAGGACCAACACCAACAACAGTTGTCAGCTGATATGCATGTGCCCGCCACATGTATCTCAATTGGGTTTATCGGGGTTATGTACCTGTCAATTTCATGAGGTTTCTGTTGGCTAGAGGAGCCCAAAATCTTGCACGGTAAAAAATGCACGGTAGGAATTATCAAAAGGGGGGGAGGCCTGGATATTGGAGCAAGCTTTCCTCAAGCACCCTTACCCCAGACAATCTCATCGGGTTTTCAGAGATCCAGATGATTTTCTGCAACTCTGTAGCGGTGAAGGGGATTTTTGACCGTGCAGTATCCCTTCACTGAGGAAATACCCACTCTGCTCTCCACTCTCGCCTTGGTAAAGCTTGGTACTGTATCACATCGCCAAGGGGTACAGGAGGTTCGTTGAGCCTCATATCACTCATCGCAAATTGAAAATTGGTACAATTGAATCTTGAATCTAGGCTTTTACAGCTCCAACTATGGAAGGTACCAATATTATGGTTAGTGCATTCATGTGGTGGGAACCACGGTCGCCGTTGGGACACCGTGACACTCAAACTACCAATTAAGGATTTCTACAAGTATGTAGAGTAATACCCGGAAGGGTTTGTTGCATGGATGGGTGTTGCAACCTTACACATGTGCGGTTGGGTAAATGCCTTTCGCTTATCTTCGGTGGTATGCCTACGATAAGTGACAAATTGACCGTGGGGCAATTATGCTCGTCCCCCATGAGAAACCAGAAGTCAATACGCACGATTCAAGTGTTTGAATTGACGAGAGGACAAACGTCGAGGGGTTATCGAGTCAAATAGTTAGCTCGACTCAATAGGACTAATTGACAGGTGACATGTCTCACATGTATCCGTAAGTGTGAGTTCTTGTTTCGAAGCCAAGGTGATTGCTTGAAAGAAACATTCCGGAAAAGCCTTTTGAAGCTTCCGTACCCTGGTATAAAGGTTGAGATATAGACTAAGATCTGCACATCACCCGCGCTCGAAGATACTTGATAAAAGCGGCAGTAATAATGCCTGTCTATCTTGAGATGTCGAGGTACTTGCTCAAAAGTCGAAACACGAAAACACGATATCAGGTACTTTGTAACTGCCGCTTTTATTTTCTTATCCTCGTACTTTGATAGGCCTCCCCACGATTGCAGTCAACTCACCGTTGGGCTCTCACGTCAGACATGCTTGCATACTTCATACCTATCACCAGGTAGAGCTGAGGATACACGACAAGGTTGTGTCTGAGCTCGTTGTTTAAATAAATGTAACGCTCGCTCCCTTCTAGCCACATCAGGGACGGCTGTGGAATATTCTGTTCATTTCTTTTACGGCTTGCTGCATTTCAAATCGCTACCATGGATTCCAAGACCGCAATTACGGTTGACGAGAAGCCTTTCTCTCAAGTCAAAGAAGTTTCTACCACTAGTTCGTCTGAAAGTCTGGTGTTTGACGCAGCAGCTACTGCAAAATTGATTAGGAAGATAGACTGGCATCTTATCCCTTTTCTCTCATTGATTTATCTGTAAGCTCTCTCCCTCCTGTTGACCTAATTAATTGCGCTGATGAAAGTAGTTTATGTTTCTTAGATCGAACGAACATTGGAAATGCACGTCTCGACCATCTAGAGCAAGATTTGAAGCTCCATGGACTTCAATATAATGATTGTCTGGCCGTCTTGTTCCCATTTTATATCGCAGCAGTAAGCTGTTTTTCTTTTTCCGCTATTCATAACATCAAACTAACTCCATCAGGAAATTCCAAGCAACATCATGATGAAGCGTCTACGTCCCAGCGTTTGGCTGACATTCATTATGGTTTTCTGGTCACTTGCGATGATTCTGCAAGGTTTTGTCAAGAACTACCAAGGACTAATGTAAGAACCAATCATAGTCTATATCCCCCTCGCTAAGAGCAACAACCTTTCATCTACATGTTCTAATCGCTAACTCTCTCTAGGGCTACACGAGTCTTTCTTGGTATCTTCGAAGGTGGTCTCTTTCCAGGAGTAAATTATTATCTCACTTCCTGGTATCGCAGAAGCGAATGCGGATTTCGAATGGCTCTTTTCTTTTCCGCTGCCACCCTGGCTGGTGCCTTCGGTGGAATTCTTGCAAGAGGAATTTCAGAAATGCATGGTGTTGGTGGATTGTCAGCTTGGTCTTGGATTTTCATTCTTGAGGGGTTACTCAGCATCTTGGTTTCGTTCAGTGCTTTTTGGGCCATTTACGACTATCCTTCAACGTAAGTATAGTTGTTGCTAAGCAAGCGCCAACTCAAGCTGACTAACTGTGCCAGTGCCTCATTTCTTACCCCAGTTGAAAAAGTGGAGGTGGAACGACGTCTCGCTGTCGATAGTGGTGGTTTAGCAGATGGCTTCGCATACAAATATGTCTTCCAAGCTATCAAGGATTGGAAGATTTACATTCACATGTTGATTTGTATGGCCGGATTCTGCCCCATCTACTCGTTTGCGCTCTTTCTTCCAACCATTATCAAAAACATGGGTTACACTTCAAACGAAGCACAGCTGATGAGTGTTCCACCTTATGTGGTTGCATGCTTGTTCACAATTGGTGCAAGTTGGTTTGCCGGTCGTGTTAAGCAAAGAGGAGTGTTCATGTTGGCTTTCCAACTTGTTGCTATCGCTGGGTTTGGTATGCTTCTTGGAAGTCTCAGAGCAGATATCCAATATGCTGGCACAGTTTTGGCTGCCATCGGTATCTACCCACAAATCCCTCTTGGACTTGCTTGGAACGGGAACAATATCGGAGGTAGCTTAAAGAGAGGAACAGGAATTGCAATGCAGGTCATGGGAGGAAATTGCGGAGGAATTATCGCCAGTTACGTGTATCTTAGCAGAGATGGACCTAAGTAAGTTTGTATCTATCAAGTCGGGCTGCCCACACTAACAAGCATAGATATACCACAGGTCACGGGTTGCTGCTCGCCATCATCGGAATGGCATTTTTCCTTACAGCCTTTATGACTGTTTATCTCAGGCTGGAGAACAGAAGAAGGGACAAGGTGCTTGCCGAATCACCATCGACCAGCGGAGCGAACTTAGAGGATGAGGCGGATAATGCCCTATGGTTCCGATATGTTGTTTGATTGTAGTCAGAACTCAAATACCCACTAATGCTGGTCTAATTTTTCCCATCGAAGAAAGATGGAAGAAATATATGATATGTGGAGTTATAGAAATGATTTTGGGAAATATACATAGAATATACTTAACAATACAGTACGAGTTTAAAATTAGCAAAGGTCGAAAAGCCTATTTACCTCGTACTAATCATGTCCCAGGATAACTTATATAACAGCGAATTTGTGTTGAATAGGTATACAGCCCGTCTCACATTACAACCTACATTTGAACTAGAGAGACAAGAAATATGGGAGTTCAAGATTGATGTTAGGCAGTAAGATTACATACAAGAAGTCATACTCTCAACATCGTTCATATTCATTTCAGCAACAGAACAGTTAGTTTCCCATGGCTCACGATGAAATTTCTTAGCTTCATTGCGCGAATTACCGCGCACGCGGATTTTCAGAGGCTTAATTTGTTCCGGAGTGGGTTCTTGTAAAAGCTTTAACTGTAAAGTTTAACGTGCCCAGATGCCTAGAGTGGATCCTTCTTTAATGGTTTATAAGCCCCAGCCACTGCCCTTGGGAACTCGGAATTTCTTTTTTAGCCTCGTTTCAGGTGGAAATAGAAAATATTCCTTCATTCCCAGGTAGGTACGAAGTAGTTGGTAGTGTTGCACATACGACTAACCTTTTATATCCTCACAATCGCAACCATATTGTCGCCCTTTTTGCCACATCCTTACTGGAGCACTCTCACTGTTACTCTTACTACCACATCCTCACTTACACGTCTCAACTAATGCTATACCACCCGTTTAACTTAAGCACTTTTTGTAGGTAGTCCAAAATATTAAGCTTTTATTGCGTCGAGCTACCTGGAAATTTCGACTTAACAGCTGATTTTATCACTATCAGACAATAAAGTACCGCAAAAATGCTCACCCAAAGTGGATATATGTGAATACGGTCAAAGTGAGACTTATATGCTTGGAAATATACGTAACCTGGTTGGCTAAACGACTTTATCTCTTAGAGAAGAGGTTGTAAAAGTAAATATTTTACTCCACCTTTCCTATACTCCACTTTTGTTACACGTCCTTTTTACTTCGAAGCACGTTACGGAGTATTGTCCGGAAATAATATGATTAGAAGTGCCTTGAGGTATGTTATCCGTACTTAGGCACATTTCAATGAGGCCAAATGAGTAGGTTCTTTTTTGCACTTTAGGACGTAGCATACCCACTTCCTTTCTTTACGTACTTAAAGAAGTATCATGGCTAAACAAAGGTAATGTAGAAGAGGTCGTAAAGGGTCAAGACTCTAGATAGCTCGCGTCTTCCCCTCCCCTGTATACGACTTGGAATTCCAAAAATATAACCCTCTTAGCCAATTGGCATGTCCAATTTATGCGGAGGTATATCCGAAAGTCACAGGGGGAGACCGGCGCTGTCCAGAACCTTTCTGTGAGGATTTACATCTAATTCTTCAAGTTCGAGGCATCTACTTTTGGTCTTCGAACTTGTAATCATCGTTACACGAGTACGTTAGTAAGATTACGGCTTGAGTATTACGGAGCAAGTCGCCTAGACATTATCCTGGCTCGCTTAGCAGTCCGAGCACTCAGATTTAACTGCACTCCTATCAACCGAAGCTCATTTTCAACTTCTTGATACAAATACAAAGAGGGTAGATAGCTCGGAGTCGCACTCTATAAGTTGATAGTATCTCTCGGCCCCGATCTTTTATTCAACCCAGCGAATGAAAGACTACAAATATAAACTTCGTCGCATATGATCTGCCGTACATGGAGCAGTCTTGGCTATCCACCGAGCCACCCTTTTTGATAGATAAATGCTTGTTTTCGGCAATCAGAGCCCAAATAGAACCTCACAAACTCAAAATTAAATATATATGCGCTACTATACGGACACATCGTTTTTTATTTTACTTTTCTCTTCAAGCCAAACTACTCCAGCTTCAATCATCCATCTGTCTTCGATAACTTGTAATCCCCGTGACAATCCACCACATCCAAAATGAAACTCCTAAACATTTACACATCATCTCTCCTTATGGGAGCAACTTTCGTACAAGCTATCTCATCTATCAACCAACCACGTCAAGAAGAACCCCCCAAACCACCCACAAAAATCATCGCCGGAGTCACAGTCCCAGACACCCCCCTCATCACCGCATCACTAGACTACGCCCGCAAATACTCCGACGACATGACCTACAACCACGTCATCCGCTGCTGGCTCTTCGGCACCATCGTCATCGCCAAGTCCAACACCAACATCGACCCCGAAGCGCACGCCGTAGCAACAATCCTCCATGATCTAGGTTGGGACAACACTCTGGAACTTCGCTCCCCGGATAAGCGCTTTGAAGTCGATGGTGCGATCGCAGCGAGGAATTTTATTGAGGATGCCGTCAAGCAGGGGATTACGGATGGGAAAGAGTGGTCTGAGGAGCGGAAACAGCTTGTTTGGGATGCGATTGCTTTGCATACTACGCCGAGTATTTATAGATTTAAACAACCGTTGGTGAATTATACGGGATTGGGGATTGGTGCGGATTTTAAGGGTCCGGACAGTGATGCGACGAAGACGCTTACTTTGGAGGAGTTTGAGAGGGTTAATAAGGAGTTTCCGAGATTGGATCTTGCGGCAGGTATCAAGAAGACTGTGAGTACCCACTTTGTTCAAGAGTTGCATCCTCTTTGGGCAAATCCCAAATTCGAACCCCTTACGACTTCAATAATAATCTGTTATTATCATTCTCTGGATTCCTCTGCACATAAACTATTCCTAAGAAAATACACTGACTCCCAAATCCCACAGATCTGTGATCTTGCCACGACAAAACCAGCCACCACTTATGGTATGTAACATCCAATAAGAAAACAGAAACCGAGTGTTTTGCTAACTATACCACAGATAATTTCATGCAATCATTTGGTGAGGCGCATGTACCAGGATATAAGGAAGGCTACCAAGGTAAACGTGGAATTGACCTGGTTCTTGGTGCCAAAGGTTAAGAGAGGCGACACGTTCTTTAGCCTGAATGATCTTTAAAGTTATCGGACAATAGTCTTCTTATTGCTTTTTCAAGAATGAGAAGGTTCGTTCGACCTTTTGCCAGAACAGGAGGAGAGATCCGGCAGGATCTACGGCCTCTGATTGTTGTGTTTAATTAAGATTACATTCTTAGAATAATAGTAATAAAAAACCACTATAACATCAATTATGAATAGCAGAAATACGTACCTCCTAGATATATTATATAATATGTGTCGTTATATATAACCCTTCTAGACTCAAAAGGAAGAGGTAAAACATATAGTTCTAATTGGATTTAATTAGCTTTAAGTAGGTAAGACAATTAGGCGAAACTCTATATACAACTTGGTTAGAAAAAGATTTTATCGGTATTCTAAAAGTCTGGTATAATTAAAATGGGTTTCTAAGTAATTGTAACGAATACTCAAACTGGCTAACTAAACTTGGCTGGGTGTTCGCTGGTTGGTATGCTATGATAAGAAGAAGACTATCGGGTTGTTCACTTGGAAGTGAACTCGTTACTTGTATCAAAGATGTCAAACTAATATGATAAGATTGATAACTAAGTTGAGCACGAAGCTCCGATCTAATGGCAGACGTGCCAGTCTTATATAGAACCTTCGTTCTCTTGTGCTAGCTTGCTAGACTCGTCGCTCGGTCGCTGCTAGACTGGTAGACCAGTCGCCCCGTCTAGCGACATATATCACGTGATAACAATACAGAGAAATCCCTGGATCGCTTAGCTACTCCAAACGATCCCCATTTGCTATAAGAAACCTGGATGTGCCTGTCGAGGATTGTGTGACGGAGCTGGATTTCATTTGACAGGATTTCATTCGCTTGGCCAAGCACGTGACGAGACTTGGCATTGGAACAACTTAAATAACTTCGCTCCTTTCAGATTCTCTTCTCTCTTTAGTTTGATTTCTTCGTACCTACGGTTTTAGTTCTAGCAATTGATTCAAAAGCTGTATACACTTTATCCTTTGTTGGCATCCGTGACAGATTGCGCCTCTTATTATGACAGGTATCACGTGAGCACGTGATTCGTGACAGGAGTACGCGGAGTTTAAGTAGTAGATAATAATAATAAAGGTAAGCTATTAGATAGATAAAAGTAACTCCTACTATATTTTAAGGGATTAATTATAAATATATAGTAGATATTATACTAGAGAAATTCGACCTAATTAACGTCTATAAATTAACTTTTATAGCGGATTTCGACGATAATAAGAGGGACTATAATATAGTATTTAATAATAGAAATATAAAGAGTATAAAGGTTAAAGGTAAATTAAAGGATTAACTTATAGAAATATATATATAATTTAGAGTAAAGGTTTTAGGTAACTTATCCTAATACTTTACCTTTATTTTAATATTATAATAGATTAGCTTAGCTATTAATTAACTTACTATTACTTTTTAGAATTAATATATAGATAGAGTTATTAGCTTAATGTAACGAATACTCAAACTGGCTAACTAAACTTGGCTGGGTGTTCGCTGGTTGGTATGCTATGATAAGAAGAAGGCTATCGGGTTGTTCACTTGGAAGTGAACTCGTTACTTGTATCAAAGATGTCAAACTAATATGATAAGATTGATAACTAAGTTGAGCACGAAGCTCCGATCTAATGGCAGACGTGCCAGTCTTATATAGAACCTTCGTTCTCTCTACATCGCCTACATCACCTGTCGATGTAGTCGACCTCCTATCGCTAACATGGACTGTCGATACAGGCGGTGCGATTGATCACGTGACTACATACACGAGAAATCCTTGGATCGCTTAGCTAGTCTAAGCATCCCTATCTACTATAAGAAACCTGGATGTGCCTGTCGAGGGTCGCTCCTCTTTTTATGAAGGTATCACGTGAACACGTGATTCGTGACACCTAGGCTCTACTTATTAAGGTATAAATAGCCTTCTAAGTACCCTAGGAGCTATTTAACCTAAATGATATATCCTCTACCTCCTATATAAACCTAAGTATTAGTAAAGGATATGTTTTATATATTAAAGGTAACTAAGTAAGCTTATATATATTATTTAATCTATTCGATTAACTTACTTATCTATAATAATAATAAATCTACTAATTATTATTATAAGCTGTAGTTTTCTATTAACCCTCTACTATTCCTAAGCTAGCTACTAGTTTTAGATAGTAAGATAGGACTTAATTAAGCGCTTAGTAGCCTAGGCTCTACTTGTTAAGGTATAAATAGCCTTATAAGTGCCCTGGGGGCTGTTTAACCTAAATAATATATCCCCTACCTCCTACGTGAACCTAAGTATTAGTAAATCTTTATTAAACTATATAGTTTCGAACAATTGACTTAATTGTTCTAATAATCTCGTATAATAGATTCTTAGGGTGTGTATAGAGTTTCGCCTTAGTGTCTTACCTACTAATACTTAACTTAACTACTTAGATTCTACACGCTAGATACAATCAGCGAAAGAAATCATTAGAGTGGGGTAGAGTAGAGGCACCTACTTAACCCTACTTAAGTAGGTTTTAGCCCTGCTCTAGCCTACTCGTCAAGACTTAAGTATGTTAGAGTACTAAATCACTCAAAAACTCCATGATTGAAAAATGAAAATATCCGTAGATTCATATGCTACATCCCCCGCACCTATGTATCTGCTAGAAGCATCAAGACAAACAGAAAAATTGGTATCTTGAGAAACAAACGCCAATACAAACTGGTAACCCAGGCAGTGAAATTTTTCCTCCCTTGAGACAGACGCCAGATATACCCATGATGCGAGAACGGAGAAAGAGTGCCAACGGTATCAAACGAAGGTGGGGTATCAACTCGCTCGCTCGCTACATTGAAATAGTCCAAGTCCATCCCAGCCGTTCCCAGAAAAGAAGATTGTCAGGCGGAAATATGTATGCAAGAATTAATCAGACTCAGCATCATCTGGCAGTTCCTCAAATCGGCCCTCTTGGAACGCTTGTGCCACAGGATTTTGGATATCTACGATCCCAGTTTTCTTCAATCTATGAATAGTTAGGACATTCAAGAGCAAGATATGGTAATGAGAAAGAAGAAAGAAACCAACCTTTCGAAAAGAACAAATAATCTCTCCGCCTCTCGCTCCTTCTCTTCATCGGTCATGTCAATCTCAACCTTCTCCTCCTTATCAAGGAATTGTCCTGTGATCGGATTAATTCTCCCATCCAGATTTTGGCTATCCTGACTGGCTCTCTCGTTGCTACTCGTACTACCCGCCTCCAAAGTATTGGCCGGAAGAGGAACATTATGTGAGAACAGGAACCCAGAGGCAAATCCATAACCCACGTTTTGGACAAACTTTGACGCATCCTTGTCGCTCAGTTCGAAAAGTAGACTTGAGGCTGCTTCGCGAGTTTGTGGGATTATAGGGTTGGTGGAGAGATGTAGCAATCGCGATGGCACGGTTTCCGCTCTCCCCAGCGGTTGGTCACGGTCTGTATTTGACGGGAGTATAACTTTGCGCATTTGTACCTTTACTTCTTCCGGCGCAACTTCATACATTACTCGAAGCAACGTGAGAAGGGGTGAGACCAATTGTTCTATTTCGCTGTCTGAGTAGACCTTTGTTGATTTCTCTAGCATGTCGACCAAACAATCCAGAAAAATATTTGGGGTAGCCTTGGGGAAAAGTGTCGAAATGTTGTCTTTGTTTTTCAGGTCGAGGTTGATGAGTGCATTGACAAGCTGAGCAACAGGAGGGTCCATAGGCTTGCTTAAAGAAATGGGGACCTTGCTTATGAGGACAAGGATATGTTGGAGAGCATGGGAGAAAGCTACCTTCCGTTGGGGGCAAAAGTGTGTAAGGTTGAAGAGTAACTTGAGCGATTCCACCAGAGCCATATCTTGCATCGGGTCCGCAGGCTTTTTTGGCTTCACAATTGTCTTTGCTTGCCTGGCAATATTTTGACAAACGTACTCCGCGAGCTGGTCCTCATCGATGAGTTTTGCGATATCGATCGTGGTACCGTAGGTAGTGATGAAGATGATTCGCGAGACCAAAAATTCATCATCTCTGTTATCATTCTTCAGCTTCCCGCAAGCCTTCGACATGTACCCCAAGTCCACAAGCATTTGTCTGGTTTCAGGCTTGAGTAGCATGGCATTCGCAAGGCATCGGAGGGCATTTCGAGAGGTTGTGAGGGAGGGGCTATTGAAGGCATGTCGAGTCAGAGTTTCTATGCCCTATCAAGCATCAGTCAAAGGTCAAGTTCTCTTGCTGAAGCTCCAGCCTACCTCTTTCATGAATATGGGATCAGCGTTGGTGGGGTCTCTGCCATAGACTTTGACTTGCTCAAGATATGCGTCGCGCTCTATTTTCTTCATTAGATAGCTTCTCAAGTAGATGTTGCGATCACAGGTAATCAGCATACGGTGTGGTAGAAGCTTGATCTCTTGCAGGTCCTCCTTCAGCTCATTCATGAGCCTGGTCACATCTTGGAGCTTTGCTACCGCCAACGTTGTCAGTCAATTGAGTACAGTGAATTGATGGGGTCATACCTGAACCAGTCAGCTCCACTGATGATGTGGAAGTTTTAGGAGTTATGGTCGGAGTCGCCATCTTTTGCGCAGTAAAGGTAAGGTTGAGCTCTTTGGTGTGTGGGTCGCGTCAGATTATGATGTCGACTATCAGCAGGTGGGGTGAATTGCTCAGCCACTGATTGTGGCGTTGGCTCAGTGTTTTGCCGTGACTGTGACATCGCTTGCCATTGCATGTCCATACTCAGGTACCAATTAGTTACTTGATACCGTCCCATCTACATATCCATAGACAATCTCTGAGAAATTTCATGCTATTATGGACGTTCCAATAGCAGCAAATGTTCTTGGGACGATTGGCGCAGTATGTTGGTCAATCCAGGTATTTTCACTCCCAACAACCTCCAATATATTGATTACTGAAAACCATCACAGCTTATTCCTCAAATCATTATCAACTATCGTCGACATAATACTATAGGTCTCCAAAGATCAATGATGCTGCTTTGGGCAATTGCAGGCGTACTTTTGGGTGCATACAACATCTCTGGAGGTTTCAATATTGCGCTCAGAATCCAGCCTCAAATTTTGACTGTGCTGAGTTTAATTACTTGGGGCCAGTGTTTTTATTATGATGATGTGAGAGTCTGCAGAATTATATTTCGTGATATCAAGATACTGATTTGTTTGGTAGAAATGGAGCTCTTGGAAATGCACTGCACTTCTCTCTATCACTGGGCTGATATTCGGTGGAATAGAAGCTGGGTTGATATTTGCTCTCAAAGCAGGTACTGATCAGGGAAGACGCTGGCCAGTCATCTTCGTTGGCGTGCTTTCTACAGTTCTTTTATCAGCTGGTGTCTTGAGGCATTACTATGATATATACATCCATCGGACTGTCCGTGGAATATCATTTATTTTCGTTGCAATTGATGCCGCTGGTGACGTGTTCTCCCTGATTTCAGTTTGTATGTATATGTACCGCAATCTTGAAGTCTTCAATGCTTGCTAACACAAATAGTTTTCCAACCCAAGCTTGATATTCTTGGTATGGTTATATATGCCACCGAGTTTGTTTTGTGGTGTGGAGTATTTGCTTGTGGTGGATATTTCAACCTGCTTCCATGGGTCCAACAAAAGTTGAGCAATCGTGCCTATCGATCACAAATTCAGCAAGACTCAGAACTCCAGTCAGCAGGAGATCACGTATCAGCAGCCCCACAAGACATGTCTCTCCATGAGATTGGGTCCTCAACGTCAGTATTTCGAACACCGAGCTCTGTTGCAAGTTCACGGCTTTCAGCCAGACTGGCGGCATGAGCGTATGGTAATGATTCCTCCTATTGCGATCATCTTCTTGGTACATGTCAAAATTCCATTGAAAGAGAAATGCAGCTGGTTACAGCTTAGCTATCTCCCTATGCTCCAAGTCCTTCGCCTCCACAAAAGGGAATAGCGGGAATCCATTTCATCTCCAACATCTTCTTCTCAATAATTTCCTCCTTATGAGCCTCCATAACCTCATGATCCCAATTCACAGAGGTAATCAAGCCCTTAAGATAATCCGCTCTCGGCTGAGCGAAGTACAAAGCTTGAAGACCGGTCAGATCAGCATGGTCGATCGCAAACGGTAGCCAAAACTCCTCCGACATCTCCGACTTCACGATTCCTGGCATCGTCATGAACATCCTGAGAGTAGGGTACTCTATCAAAACCGTCAATTCGCTTCTCAAAGCATAGTTGGCAGCGCTTGACATACCTGCTTGAACATGTTGAACAAGACCTTGCATCGCCAATTTGCTGACATCATAACTCGAGCCTTTCGGAACCATGACTCCCACACGACCAGTGAGGACCGTAATAATCGTTCCAACAGGCTTCTCCGTGTGTTCTTGCGAATTAATCCAATGATTCAACATAATTACCAGTCCCTTAAGATTAATCTCCTATTCCCAAATTCATTAACAACATCCTCACAACCTTCCTCTCCAAACCCAAACCCAACCATAAACATAGAACCATAAATAAACTCACATAAACCCTCCAATACTCCTCAACACCATGCTCCGCAAACATCTTCGTATCATCCAGTGCCCCCGCATTATTCAACAACACATCCGCGTTCCGCCCAAAGGTCTTTTTGACCTCCGCGTACAACGCTATGACGTCGCTTTCATTGGCGATATCGCATTTCACGGCTAGAACGATGGTGTCTTTGTTGAGTGCCTCGATTTCTGTTTTTACGATTTGCAGACGTTCGAGGCGTCGGCCGACGAGGACGATTCCGTGGGCGCCCGCGCGGGCCCAGACTTTGGCTGCGGCCTGAGGGGAATTCTGTTAGAATTTTATGTCATCTGTCATCTTCCCTTCCATCTCCTCAGCTCATTCTTATTCTTTTTCCCATCTAAGTTCCATCTCTTGACAACACACCTCACCCCAAAACAGCCGAACAGCAAAACACACAAATCAGACGCAGAAAGGTAGAAACTCACAGCACCAATCCCACTTCCCGCTCCCGTAACGATAATCACCTTCCCCTCCTGTCGATTTTCCGCTTTCTCGGGTGAGAGGAAGGGGTAAGGATCGCGATGGATGGTTTTCGTGAAGGAGAAGGGGGTGGTCCATTGGTTGGGGTCGACATGGTAAGTCGTCATGGTGGAAGATTTGCTCAGTTCTATGGTGAGTGGAAGATAGAAAATGGAAGATGGATTATGTGTGTTTGATGTTTGAGGAGATGTTGAGATGATGGTTGGTGATGGGGTGGATAATTGATATGAAGAGAAGTTTGATTGTTTGATAGGATGATGTAGGTAGGTGAGTTTTCATTTATTCACTTATGGTCAGTCTTATACCCAAGCAAATGAAAATAAAATGCATTTCTAATCATGATCATCATCACGATCTCACCACACCCCCTGCACTCCCCTCTAACCCCTCCAGCACCTGCATCGTAGCGTAGTGTAGCTTACACAACCCCAATCTCCGTGCAGATTACAAAATGGCCCGTGTCGGAGGAACTGTACTGTACTGTATGATTACTGACTTCTGTTGTTTGATATTGGTTGGTTGATTTGTACCAGTAAGCTACACGCTTACAATACAGTACAGTACTTGTGGTTGGTTGGTGAATATATCTGAGGTAGCGCCTAACGCCGAAATTCTCTTGCTCTTAGGCACTGTATATAAGTATGGATTACTAAAACGCACCTTGATATAAAAAAAGGTTGGATTCGATTTTAGGCACCCAGGTATATATCTTTAGTAAGATACTTAATCACATTCCTATTAATCTAAGAGGACAGTCAGAATCCTCCAAATCGGAACAGAGTATACTACTATTCTACCGTTTCTGTTTAGTTTTCGTACTTCTACTCGCTCGTACTCGTTAAGTGATAGGGGGAGGTACGGATGGAAATATTCACTGTACAAGTAGTAACATGGTGAATATCTCGGGGATAACCTTTGAGGCTGGGACGGGGTAGGACTTTATATAAGTCCCCGAATCTCGGAATCGGGCGTTGAGATGACTTTTCCTATGGATGGGTTTGTGTTTTCTCTCTCTATTGGAATACGTCGAAGCTGGCCTGACTGACCGGTCCTTGGCACGTACTAAGATATTGAGTTATCTGCTGTGAGTAATACTAATACGAGTACTCTTCTTTCGATTTGTTTTATTTTTATGAATATAGTAATCGTCGTCAAACTTGTTCGAGAAAAATATATAAGTAGTAGCCCGAGAGCGATTAGATTATATTATTCTAGCGGCTTATCATAGGATTCGGAAATTTCAAAGGAATCCCGTGGATTTAACCCAAAAAATCCAGATTATTGTAGGTAGAGATTAGTAAATATCCGAATTGGTTTAGATACCGCGTTTCTTGTCTCTGGTCACTTGATGAATGAAGCTTCGATGTCGTAGATATACTCGCTCTGTCTTGATTTCTTTACAAGGCAATCCCGTAGAGAATTTGCGCAAGGGTAATTCCTCGTGTATTCGGGTTTTGATCAGTGATTTCTTGTGTGATTTAAGCTTAAATCTGAGGTTTTGTACATATAGATACGAGGTGGACAAAAATAAACGGCTTTGTGTCCTTCCGATCTAACATATTTCCATGAGCTATTCCATGAAAGTGCTATATAAATAACTTTGATACCGAGGGTATTAGTGAGATAAAGATAATGGTATGTGGACAAAAAAGCTCCTGCTTAATTTGTTCACCTCGTATATGGATTAGCGAGCTTGTACAAGCGACAAGACTGATGGGGTCTCGCTCTGTGAATGGCTTCAAAATTCCCGCTTAGAGAACAAATCTTTGACCGTTCAATGTTACGACACACAAGATGATTCGAAAGACGCGCGTCCTAAGATAGTTCTGGATGCCTCGTATTTTCCAGCATTCCATGGGTTCCAGAATCCAAACCAACCGAGTAATTTCCAATCCGACAACTCACAGACCCTCTGGTCAGACGATACATTTTCTTCAGCAAGCTGAAATTTAGTCTTTGAATCCACCTCGTTCTTCAAACCGTCCACGCGTTCCTCATGCCTCTAATAGTCTACGCAATCTATAATACGACAACTCACAAACGGTGAAAGTGCTCACCCACCATGTATATTTTCCCCATCCATTCATTCAAAGATCCAATTTCTGCATCAAAGATCCACCTCGTATCTGGCTTCGAACGAACCATCAGGCACCAAACCACCGCACCGGGACTGGGCATTTTCCGCAAGTGCGATTGGCGCGTCTACAAACTACCGGTAGATTACAAACGCGAGGAAGATCGAAACACATTTGAACCACTGAGAAACGAAGAAACCGGGAGCGATTGTTTCTAGAAGTAAGGCTGCGGCGCTTAGCGCTTCGCGACTTTTTCCTATTTGGGGTGCTGTCTGCCAATCCTTTAAGCGAGGGGTTTTTCGCTGTCTTGTTATTGTGGATTCGTATGGGTTGGGTAAGTTGGGCGAGTAGGATTCGGAAATTTTGGGGTTACGTTGCGAACATTTCTTTTTTCTAATGATAACTCTAGAATAAGGTACGTCCCCATCAACCGGAACCAGAAAAGCTGATTAAAGAATATGATGTATTTCAGCTTGCCCCTAGAAGTTCACATCGAAGGGACATCGTCGTCACATCGTGTCTCGTTCGCACAGACACATCGTTCACAGACGATCCCCCAAAACTCAAACTCCCACACGAGCTCCACACGAAGCCCATGAATCGCCACGGATCGCCAACTAGCGCCGTGGCGCCGTCTGGTACTTTCTCGGTATCATCTCTAATCTGATATAAAAATCCCCGCTCCTTGTGAACTTGCGATCTTGCGATCCAATAAATGAGCACCATGACACGAAATTTTGTTGCTCCCACACAATACACGGGCCAGGAAAGATCTGGTAGAGTTCCGGTTCCCACTTGTTGCACAGAGAAAATGCAGGAAGTACTGTACCGTAAAGCTCGGCTCGCAATAGTTACCGAGTTCGGCGACGTTGTATGAGCCCCGAAAAGCAAGAGAGAAGTGAAAAGAGGTTATTTTTATTCCCCAAACTAGGGTAGAGATACCCGGTTTCGTTTTGGTATTGCATTGATTGTGCTCTCTGACCGATGTATGGGTAGGGCTACTAGGGTGCTGTAAGGTAGGTGCTTTATTCTCAGTTATTCTATACTCGCATCTAATGATTTTCTCTTCTACTTTTTCTTTTAATTATCGTACTATACGCTTCCTAATTGGACAGCTCACAAATCAAGCCCTTGTATAGCTAAGCTAAAAGTCCTTCAAACAGCTACTAAGAGACGTGGATCATCTCAACCTCGCCTCTTTTCAATAACGTACAGTCTCGACTCAGGAGACCAGGATCTAGCATACAGTACTCATCCTAGCTCTAACGCAATCCACTCTCATCTAAAAGGCTATCCACTCTAATTAATCCGAAAGTCTACACCGACACTGCAATTGGTACACTACCAAAATGCAACCGAGTCGGAGGGCACATTGTGGGAATGAATACCGGACTGGACCCAGTAGGTGAGATCTTTCCAGAATTCTCCGAGTCTTCCATCTTACGTCGTTACACTCCTGTACTCATACATAAGTATCCTTCAAAACCAAACGACAGACCGGTCTCTTCGTTGGATCGCAGAAATCATCTTGATACTAGTCAAACTACCTTCTTGCTCTGGGAGCACCACCTCTCACCGTCAACCACTAAGTCCAACCATCTCAACTCCTCTCACCCATCAACCTCACAATGGATCTTATCTACCTCCTTCTTACGCTCCTTCTCACCCCCATAATCCAAGCCGGAGAATGCGCCGCCAACCATATAATAATCGCCCGTGCTAGTACAGAACAGCCTGGGCCAGGCGTAATCGGAAGTCTCGCCACCTTAATTACCCAAGATTTCCCAGGCACAACGATGGAAAGCGTCGTATACCCCGCAACCCTAGATAATTACGCGAATTCCTCGGCGATGGGGACGGCTGCCATGAAAAAGCTTTTGACGACGTATGTGGATGCTTGTCCTACTTCCAAGGTGGTATTGATGGGGTATTCGCAGGTGAGTGGACTCGTAAAATGGTGGAGTTTATGAGGGAAGAAGGAGGTAGGTTAATGAATGTGAATAGGGCGCTCATGTTGTGGGTGATGTGATGTGTGGTGGTGGAGGAGTCCAGGGATCAGCAACGACACCACCTGTTGACGCAAAATATGGTGATAGTGGTATATTCTCCTGTCTCTCTCTTTGTAAAGCCTCAAACCTTACACCACGCAGTTAAAGCAATGATCCAAATGGGCGATCCAAGATTCGTCCTTCAAAAAAGTTATAATGTGGGAACTGCGACTTCGGATGGTGTAAGTTATTCCTGTCCTGGAAGATTTAAAGACTGGCTCCTGAAGACAAAAAGATGACATGTATGCTGATCAAAAATATAGCTCTTCCCTCGTCAAGCAAACCAGACCTGCGACAAGTACGAGGAAAAAATCCAGCTGTACTGCGATGATGGTGACCCATTCTGTGAGAAGGGCGACACGCTTGATGTGCATTTAGGTTATACCAAAAAGTATAACGAAAAGGCTAGAGCATTTGTGAAAACAAAACTTGCATAAGCAATCCTTCAAATGCCGGGGAGCAAACAAGAATTATGCCCAGAAATAATGGAGGGAAAGATAAAGGCTTGGCATTTAGTGAAGACTCAAGTAATAGGGGATTGGACAAGAGTGATCTCCATGGCCATATGGTATATGGATAACGCAGTGAATAGGGATATTGTGGAAGTAAAGGAAAGGAGACGCGGGGTAGCGAGCAGCACATGTAAATAGCGAGGCACCGTCAGAGGGGAGAGGAAATAATAGAATCCAAGGTTCTTTTGGCTCGTGCTTGAAGCCGGCCGTAATTTGATATCCAGAATTAAAAGTTGGCTCCCTAATTGTATCCCACAGTAATTGTATGATCGCCACCTTCAACAGAAATAGTGGCGTATCCATCTCCTGTACTCGCAATACTTGCACTTGTAACCTCAACCTTATTCAAATACACCTTTGTACTCGAAGAAGGAACAGGAAGAGATATAGTACCACGAGTGTTTGCCGGAGCAGATGCTGCCAACCAGAAAATACCAATCGAATCATCACGATTCCATCGTACTGTAATCGGACCACTGGGTGTTGGAACTACGCCCTTTGCCCATTTCACATCTCCCGGAATGGGTTTAATACTCCAGGTATTAAAACCAGGTCCAGTTGGTAGGACACCGAGTATGTTGTTCGTCATCAATGGCACGATACCAGTCGCCCAACCATGAGCCTGACTACTGAATCCATCTTCATAGAGAGAGCCATTTGTACCGATCCCTTCCCAAACTGTAACTTGTGGATCATGAGTAGCCATCCAGCCATATAATCTTCGGATTTCCTCCAAAGCTGTGTCTGGTGATTTAACCATAAAACGAGCCTGGATCTCAAAGTAGGAAATGAAAGCATAAACTCGTTGAGAGAAGCCATCTTGCAAGAAATCATTATCGTAGAAGGAGTTGCCGTATGGTCGAGCGTTATTCTTCGCGAGATAATCGAGTGCTAATTTTGCCTGTTCAGGGGTTGCTGCTCCACTGAGAATACTGATGCTGTTTCCATCTTGAGCGTGTGTCGGACATGGAGAGGAACCACAAGACCCGTCGTAAAATGCACCAACGGAGGTGTCGAACAATCGCTCACTAATTGCATATGCTACCACCTTTGATCGATCAATCCATCGTTTTGCGTCGTCAGATTTACCGAGGGAAGTTGCAATTGTAGCGGCATTGCTTAAAGCCATAACATAAAGCGCGTTGTAGTACGTTATTGGACCAGTTCGAGGAAGGAACGCATAATCGCCATATCCATCTGATCCTCCAATACCCTTTTGAATCAAATTTGTATTTTGATTCGTGACGCTTGGGTAGTACTTGTCAAGTACCAGGACCATGTTTTTGTAATATGAAGTCATGTATGCGACATCTCCGGTATACATGTAGAGATCGTAGCTGCAAACAACCCACCATAATGGATAATCCATCAGGGGAAGGTCGTATAACCGGATGGATGCTGGTGGAATCCATCCATCAGCTCGTTGGTGGTCTGCAAGATCTGCCAGTACATTTCGTGCAGCTATCGCAGTATCGTGAGTGAGATATGTAGTCTTTCCAGAAACAGCAACGTCTCCAACATAAGGATCTCGATCTCTCTTTGCGCCATCGTGAAGAACCAATTTTCCAATCAAGGTTGAGCTATTCGCTTGTCTTGGTTCGGTATCGAATCGCCTAAACACATCTGTGGTAATCTCGTTGGTATAGGCAGAATCGCTGCGGGAATCAGCATTTACACTTCAAGAAAATATCAAAGCCTCTAACAGACTTGGGAGGAAATATGATTCTGTCTGCAAGAAAAAAAGTCCAAACTCGGCTAAAACACACTGAAAGAGGAAAGGAAGTGGATAAACACGTACTACCACCATTGATTCAGATTTTCATCCGAAGTCTCAATCCATCCAATAAAGGTATCTGGCGTTCCCAGAAATCCGGAGTATTCCAAACTCAGACCCGTAATTGTGACGGATCCAAGCGAGGTGGTCACAGGAACGTCCGCAGGCAACGCATCCAAATAAATCTTCATATATCTGAATCCATGGAGCCCATCTGTGCATACCTTTCGATCGAATTCGCAACCATGAATATTCTTCCAAGTGTATGGTTTGGATTTTACGGCAATCTACGGTCACGTGAGTATGTCTTTTTTCACATGAGTCCATCAAATTCACCACTTACCTGATCAGATCCAGGAGTTATCTTGTCTTCTGGTTCTTCTCCCTATGAAAATCTTAGTTCCAAGTTTATTGAATAGGAGTTGTGATGGCAGTATACATTATCTGATCGAGAGAAATCGCTGACGTTAGTAAGACATTGTAATGTTTCCGAAAATGCAAGTCTGATTCCTGGATAGCCAGGAGTGAAATTGGCAGCTCCTCCAAAGTCGATGGAAAGAAAACCCGGGTGGTTTAGTCCGAAATCGACAACAATCTCAGGCGGAGCTTCAATAATGGGTCTACCGGCTGCTGTTGCGTTACCACCTGCAGTTGCCTTCCTGGTCAGGATTGTTCCTTCTCCGGTAAGAAGACCATTGGGATTCGTTACATTGCCCTTATAAGAGACGATCTTGACTGGCTTGATGTCTTTACTCTTGGGGGCTCGCACATACTTTTGCCAATTGTCCTCCGGTAAGTCGGACAGTTGCCTTGGGATATTAGGGAGGGGTGGTGCAGCGGTAGTGGGGTTGATTCGATAGAAAAGTACTATCAAGCACTGCAGCAGTAGAAATCCTTGGAGGAACATGATTGCAATCTCACGAGGTGAAAAGTTGATGCGTGGTTTGGCAGACGCACTTTCCCCGAGATTGAAGACATCATTGCCTTTCTTATATTCTCCCCTCACCAACGGCCCTGGCAGTCCAGACTCACCCTTTCCATGGTGAATCCAGAAGCGGCAGCTCGCCGACATATTGTGCTCAGATGCCATTGTTCTGTTCGGCGAATTATTGGGTCGAGATATGCCGCTGCATATATGTCGAAGGGCTCGCTTCGCCGGCTACTGTCCAGCAGGTCGTTGGTGAATTTGCAGGTGGTGTCGTCTCTGCAAAGTCTGGGGAAAGATGGTGCAGGTCCACCAGCCAAGGCAGATCCGGCGCTTGCCTCCCGAGAAAAAAAGGGGCATCGTGAGCCTGGCTAATGTCCCCTGTAAATAAATCCATCGTTTTTAAGAGCGTGTGACTTTGTCAATGGCGATTTGGGATCTTGGGCGCGGGATTTCTTCTGTCAAGAATAATGGCATGGCACTTTAAATGCAGTGTCTGCAACTAACTTGAGATTTTGGTGTTATATCGACAACAACCGACTTGCCTCCTGATGTATGCAGCGCAGGTGACTCGCTGGAACGCTTCGGAGGTTCAAAACCACCCGACCCCGTCATTTGTTCATGCATGGGAGCATAGTTTTATGCAGCTGCCCATCTCTCGGTCTTGTACACTTTGAGACAACATATAATCTCTCTGGATCCTTCCTGGACCAAATACTCCCACCTTCCCAATTTCCATCCTTGCACAACACGCTCTCCACGCGCGTTGACGTTGTGCAATATTAAAGTGTTCGTCGAAAGACGGAACCGAGGTGTTGATCGGTTGTCAAGTGCCTATATGGCCAGATTGTGAATTGGTGTCTGCTATCACAAGATGAGGGACATGTCAAGCTGTACTACCTTGGCCGACTTGGTGCTCATGTTGTTTGTAGATAAGCGATCCACGGCCATTTCTTTGGAGATATCTTGTAGCACATCTACCGAGCCTGAATACGTAGGTGATCGCGGGATGCCATGTTTTTATTTAATCTTTCCTCGCTCATCTACGAGACCATTAATTCTTTTCCCGGAAAGATTTGTTGAGTTTCAGCATGACCGTCATAACTAAGAATTCCCTTCTCATACATCAGACAAGATTTCTAGCGGTTGTGGGACTTCCATTCATGGATGCACGGCATCCCCCTCATTTTGTGGAACCGCCTTGGCAAAATCATACATGCAGTCATAACAAAATGTTTCCGTACCTCTTGCTTTGACTGAGTTTTCGATATAGATACATAACAAATACTATGGATTACTTTTTTCTTCAGATATAATTATAGTTTAAACTTTGTATAGATAGCTGGTAGTTGAAAAAAGTGTTAATAGACACAGCTCTTGTTCTACTTCACTAGCTTAATTTAGGTGACTACTCGAGTAACCTAGATCTTTACAACAAATATTCTAACTTATCTATCCTGAATACTCAGTTATTCATTCAAGAACAAAGTCATCCTTTATAAAGTATCTAGAAGACATTCGTTGAATATCCACTCCAACCTTTTTTGCACTGTATATTACGAATGGGTACTTTAATACATCTCATGAGACTCACTACCCCTCCCACTTTCGACAAGTTCCAGGCTTCCCAGGCACTCTGCTTTTAGATTTAGACTGATTTTCGGTCACAATCACAAATCCAACTTTGATGTCTGAATTCTACCACTCCATTCCTAGATTATATACAGTGTTGTGAATGTTAAGCTTCGTCGTCGTAATGCCTAAGCACAGCTACAGTCATGGCAGGCAAAGCAAAACGAAGCATTAAGGTTAATTTTCCTAGGATTATCGTATAAACTCAGTATTAGAACCTCTCAACCTCATTTTGCCTACCATGCATATGCATCACATACATCTTCATTTCCATAGTTCCAAAATGACCTCAGTCTGCGCCAGAACCCGAGATGCCGCACCTCGCAACGCACAACTCCTCCAAACACTAGACGAAACCAACCACGCACCCTCAGCTCTCGAATCCAACCAATCTTACGTTGCCCGTCTTCGATTACAAATCCACCAGAAAAAACAGGAACTAGAACAGGCTTCGAAGATCGTCGAGAGCGAGTTGGCCGATTATGAGCAGTACGAACACTCCCAAATCAGGCGACTAGCCTACAAAGTTGACCAAAAAGAACAAATCTTCGACGAGAAAACAGAGAAAGAGAAGAGAGAATGGGAAGAAGCTCTAAAATACCACGACGAAATAAAATACAATCTTGGGAAGATGCTTGACACGTTAGACAATGCGGTGAAGCTTAACCTGACTTTCAAACAAGAAGCGGCTGCCAACGCTGTGGCGAAAAAGGATCTGGATGAATTGTATAAATCGATATTCTCAGGACAAACTCCAGAGCTTCCGGGAGAAGACAAGAAAGAGCAGCTTGTAACCGAGGCAGAGACCAGTTTCAACGCGGTGCAGTCACGAATGAGTACCGAAAATGAAGCTTTGAAAGCTCTTAAGGATGCTGAGAGGTTTCTCGCCCTAGCTTTGAATAATCTCTCTTCTGCAAAACACCCTGTCGTTTCTGATTTCTGGAATTACGGTTCTTTTGCAGACATGTCGAAGGACTCTAAACTCGGCAATGCACGCAGGAATATATCAGAAGTCAAGAATCTTATCGCGATGGCACAGGAGATCCAGCCTTTTATTCGGAGCATTGAACAGCTTGATGCGCCAGAGTTGCGTTTTATGGGGGAGTTGGTGTTTAGTCACTCGGAAAATGGTGTAAAACTCGGATCCAGGATGCGCTGAAGCTGTTGAAGCAAGCAACAGAGATTTTGGAAATCGAGCTGGATGGGGAGAATTCAAGGGTTAAGGCGATAGAGAAAGAATTAAGTCGGGCGAAGAAGATATTACAGGAGAGGAGAAAGGAGTTGCAGGATTTTAGACAGAAGACTTTTGAGAAGTTTACGCGTGTGCATGAACTAGGATGACGTGTTTCTTTGTAATGCTCGAGGAGATTTGTATAATAGACCTTCGCTTATATTATTCTAATAGAGTTATTTTTCAGTCGCTAAAACGATTTTGGGCAGTACTATCGAACGTATCTCTTGTCTTCACTACTTATCTCACATTACTCTAGCACATTTGACGCGGTTTATATAGACTACAAAGAGAATGAGTTTATCAAGCCACCAGTGCTTGAAATTCCATACATACAAAAACTAATTTTTGGAGCCCATGTGAACGTTGTAAAGGGAATTTATTATTAGCTTCCAAAACATACAATCATTCCCACCCTTCTCTCTTTTCAACACAATAGACATTCCATAAGCATCTCAAATGACGCATGTTATATAGACACCAGCTCAAAACCAGAAGAACACTGGAAGGATAATCTTTATTTAAAGTGAAGAAACAGTAAGCAAGAGCGCTATCACATCTCGGGAAGCTACAATAAATTCCATATAACACAGAACCCAGAGTTCTACCATCCATTAGTAACTCCTAAGTAAGTGAAGACTAAAGAATGGACTAGGAGTTCTAAGGCAAGACGTCTATCTCGGGACATTCTACCCTATCCTTTTCCTTTTACGTTTCGGTTTTAGGATCGTATTATCTTTCCCACTTCTCTCTAATATTAGTGCACCCAAAAGTCATACTTTCGCCTCTATAATTTCGGCTTGTTACATGTTTGTCTATCGCTGCCATCGTCGCTATCGTTGCGTGTCAGTAAGTCAAAGGGACCTGGGTAGATTGGATTGCTAGCCTACTTTTTTCTCACGATACAGATCGTGGTAGGCATCCAAGTTGGGAACTATAAAGGTCAAGGGTATAAAAGAGGTAAAGGGATGATGGTGTAAGGGACAATAATATTATATGTAGGTAGTACTCTAGGTTAGGCTCGGCAAGCATATTACTCTTATAAAACTATATACTAGGCACCCGAACAGGCAAAGGTACTTGTAAATCGACGTATCTAGTACTTGGGCTCTAAGTAATGCCTAACTTTTAATGATTGAAACTTATAACTCTATACCTAGTTTCAGTATAAGCTAGTAGGAAGAGTTATAATATCCTCACGTTTCTCTTTACTCTCCAATATAAGTCATCTACTCGGTATAGGTAATATAGAAGAAAATTTAGTGGCAGCCAATAAGTTGTGAACTGGAAATACATAATCCTTCGAAAGAGTAAATACATTGTAGACCCCATTCACTCACAAGTTCTGAATTCACTATCACGAACTAAATACTTGTAACACCCACTGACTCAAAATCACTCTACCCGAGTCCTTGAGCTCTAATCCCAATTTATGTAATGTTGTGATTGTTACATTTCGCCGATGAAATGAATAAGCAGGGTTAACAGAAACAATCACGATGGGCGAAGTTACTCACAGAATGATAGGCCAGGTTACACAAGTCGTTAGTATTTAAGAAGGCTTTGAACGTAATTGTACACATAGATTTCTTTTGCAAATTTCAAAACTCTTTTTGTCTGCTAGGCATTACAAATACTTCTGAATTTCAATATCTTCAATATGGCTCCGTCCACCCGTGAGAGGATCATCAAAGAGGCTTCTCCCCTGGTCAGGCGAATAGCGGAAACCGAATACGCAGCACAAGCCCTTGAAAAACAAAAACTTAAGATAGCAGATCTGGATAAAGAAATCGAAGCCAAACGAACGGATGTCCGAAGAGCTTCCCAGACTATCGAAGACAAGCTTACGGACTTCGAAAAATTACAAGATTCGCATGTGAGACGCCTCGGATACAAACTAGCGGGCAAGGAAGAAAGGTTCGAAGAGAAAACAAGTCAAGAAGAGACAGCATGGCAGGATGCTATCCGGGCTAAGTATGCGAGGGAAGAAAAACTTGAGGAACTGTTCAGCAAACGGCGCGACGCGGGTGATAAAGAATGGACACTAAGCAGCAACAAGCACATCAACAACGAAACAAAAAAGGCACTGGAAAGCTTAACCAAAGGCATATTCAGCGGACCACCACCTCCAGAATTTCCAGAAGAGGGCGAGCAAAGACGACTAATAGCCGAAGTGTGTGAAGAAGCCAAAGCTGTCGATGAGCGGGTGGGGGCTTGATAGGACAGCCTTACCTTACTTAGAATAGGCCGACCACGCGATCGAGGAAATTTTGAAAGGCTATGTTACTGCACGTAGGATTGACCTAGCTACCGCCGAGGGAAAGCTTAGGCATATACAAAGCATCGTGTGGCATGCTTCGCAGTCATTCATGGAAGCACAACAAAACCAACCTCTGATCGAAAGTATTGGACTGTCAGTATTGCCCAAGTTGGATGCCAAACCTCCAAACGAGAAATTCTTGGAATTGCTAAAGACGGCGAGGACTAGGTCGGCCGAGGAGTTAGAGAAGGTTAGATTGAGGTTTGAGGCGTTCGAGCCAGAAAGGCAAAATGCTTGGAAAACATGTTATGAGAGGAGAGGGGAGTTGCAGAACCTGAGAATGAAGATTATTATGGATGTTGCGGGTATCGACAAAACAGCCTGATGTTCCCCCTCCTATTGCTCCAGAATTTTCTTCCGAGATACTCTTTTCCTTTTTGCCTTTTTTATTCTTTTTCAAAGTTACGCTGGACGTGCGGGTATTGATGGAACAGCCTGAGTGCTTCTTCTCCTGTTGCTTGAGGGAATTCTTCTATGATACCGTTTTCTTTTCTCTTTTCTTGTCCTTTTGAACAAGCTACCCTGGACGTCGTTTGTATTTACTATTTAGATGATAGACCGCTCGTGGGGATGGTGGACTGCTCATAGAATTTCCAATCTTTCATGAATCTACCTGTTTGACGAATTCTATAAATCGTACCTGAGTCCTGGCCTTTAGTGATTGTAAGAAGTGAGTACTACACGTCGTAAAATTAATGAAATAAAACATTATTTGATGGACTTTCCCTTTGCGGCGACGACGAATATTTCATGTTTCCAGATTTTACAAGTTAGTTAGTAGGTAGTAGCTTTCGCTTCTTATTACATTTACTCTTCTAAAAAGGTACCAAGTAACATCCAATAATTTCAATCTAACGATAGCATCCTTTTCGCCATCTCTTTTGTACTAAGACCAACCTAATATAACATTACCTAACAAGACTTTACCTAATATAGCCCAAGAACCCACTATACAAACAAACACTAGAAGAAAAACGAACTAATGGACTAATAATATTTACACACGCGTATTATCTCTCCTACGAGTACTCCCTTTTTCTTTCCTCTCGCTCTCTTACTCTCTCACTAACTCCTACTCTCTCCCTTTCTTATTCTATTACAACCCCACCTCACCCCACCTCCTTCTCTCTTACCACATCCCCTATAAAGCCTCATAACTTAATGTGTTTAAAACTTTCATTTATCTTCATTTCACCCCTCATACTCAAACCCAGATCAGAGCATCATACCATCATACCATCCTCAAAATCTCTCATACTAAAAAACATGATATCATTCATAATCATAATCGTAATCATACATTCCTTCACCCTTTCCCCCTTCCCCTTCCCTACCTCTCCGTCTCACACACCCCCTTCCCCACTTTCTCTCAGTACAGATCCCAGCTCTATGTACTCCTTCCGCAACCTTTCTCTCTTTCCAGTATAGATTCCAGCTCTATTTCAAGTTTTAGAACACATCATCTCGTCATGATTCATCTTCATCCCCTTCTTCGTAATCTCATTACATAATCTTCGTTCTTTCATTATGCGGGTTTTTCAGTCCTGATCTACAGGTCGGAATTCAGGGAGTTGGTTGAGGTGTGGTTGTTGGATAGGTATTGTGTCGTCGTCGTCGTCATCGTCGTTATTTCGAGTTACATAATTCCGTAGTTGAAGAAGTTTAGGCCTGGGTAGCGAGCATGTATTTCTACCATTCCACAAATGATTAGCGAACGCCTTTTAACTTTCCCCCCCCTCTCCCTCTCATCCCATCCATCAAAATCATCCTTGAAAAAAAAAAGAACTCACCAAAAACCCCCAAGCAATCCAACAAAGACCTTCCAAATCATCTTTTCCCTTTCCACCTACACCCTCCATCCCANAAAGAACTCACCAAAAACCCCCAAGCAATCCAACAAAGACCTTCCAAATCATCTTTTCCCTTTCCACCTACACCCTCCATCCCACCACCACCTACCCCCTCCTTCCCACCTCCCAACCCACCATCCGACCCCACACCTTTGAAAAAACCCCCCTCCACAAAAACAACAACCCACCAAGTGAAATACTCCCCCTCCCGTCCCTTGCGGGGTTCATCAGCTTCCAGCGCAACCTCATCTTTGAAAGCCCAAGGTGTCTGTTGCTGAAGGATTTGTACCGCATTGCCGATGACCTTTTCTGCTGTTTCTTTGCTGAGATCTAGTTGCAGGTTTAATTTGGAAGCCTTGGGGATAGGTTTGTTCTCATCCTCATTCCGAGTTTCTGAACTTGGACTTGGTTCTGGTTCTGATTTCCCATCACGTCCAGCACCACCACGAGCTTCAGAATTAGGCGAAGAAGCAGGCAAAGAAGAAGAATCACTCCCCCGCCCCGTTGCAAGCACAAACCCCCTCCCACTCCTCTCGACCTTCGCAACCCGACTTCCCGTCCCGATCCCACCACACTCGCCCAGTCTCCGACGTAGTTTCCGGAAATACGCGGTGATGAGGGGGTCATTTAGAAGGGTATCCAGCTGCGCGTCCGGGGAGGGGAAGTTGAGGATGGTGAGGAGTTCTTGTTTTGTGGGGGCGGAGGGTTTTTGAAGGAGGGTGCGGAGTGTGGTGGTGTTTGATGGTGAGGGTGAGGAGGACGGTGGTTTGGGTGGCATTGTGGACTTTTGAGGGGGTTAATTTGAGTTTGTGTTCTGATGGGGAGGGGTGATGGGGATGGAGAAGGATAGGGGAGGGGAGGGGAACATACCACTCGTCGTCGAAATACGGAGATACTCGGANTTCTGATGGGGAGGGGTGATGGGGATGGAGAAGGATAGGGGAGGGGAGGGGAACATACCACTCGTCGTCGAAATACGGAGATACTCGGACTAGGTAGAGGTGGTAAAGGAATAGAAAGCGCTTTCAGACTCTTCACCGAAGTCTCGGACGGTCGTCTAGGTGGGAGGACAGGCGATCCAGGGGGAGAAGGCCGGGTGGAGAAGCAGTTGAGGAGGGAGGACCAGCAGCTGGTGCTGGGCTGGGTTTTTGAATGTTTCATGTTTGGGTTTTGTATGCTATTTGGGGACGAGTAATTTTGTTTGTGCTCGGGTGATAAATAGGAGATTGTTTGATTGCGTGATTGAGGGAGGCAAGCAAAGGGGATTGGGGTTTGGATTTGGATTTGTAAGATGAGCCTTTGATTGATTGCTTCAGGTCGGGAGGAGGCAGTGTTGTGGTTTTTGACAAATGACAAATACTGGGAAGTGTCGAGATGAGATGGGACGACAATATTGGATGGGCAAATTGTGTCGAGCTGGAAATTAAGATGTTGTTTGGTGGTTGAGGAGAGGGGTATTCACTATGTTTTGCGGCTTTTAATAGAAACGCTGAGATGAGGACTTGCTCAATCGAATATTGTGACGTTTAGTATTTGTTGACTGGTGGAGTGGGATAATAACAAGAGGAGGGGCTTTGGAAAGCGTAACAAAAGGATGAGAGGGGAGAGTGAGTTTGGTATTTGTTGGTGATCCAAAGGGATAATAACAAGATTCGAGCTTCGTAAAGGATAAGAGAAGGATTACAGAGTCGACTTCAAGTCATTATCCTCTAGCAAACGAAGAACAACAGCAAGCCAAAGTCCTCCCAAACCCTCAAGGGAGGGACGATGAGGATATAAACAAAACATACTCTGAAAACCCAACCACAAATCCCACACATGGGCACACATCCATATCCACTCCGACCCAAGGAAACAACAAAAAACACACATACACACACGATCCATAAGCAATAAAAGAACCCCCCTCAAACCCGGTTGAGAATGCGATACCACTAGAATCTCAATACTTATTTGGGTTGTAGAACCAATCGCCTGGCAATCGGTGTGCAGAAGTGGAGACGCAGACACGCGAGCTGTACGTGGCAGCATGCACGCGTGCTTCAGAGATCCACAACTGGCTGGGCCTCTTATCTTTCTTTCCAAGAAGGTGGGTTTGGATCATGGGGATTGGACATCGGGCGGATTTCTGGATCATGGGGATTGGATGTACAGGCCCGACGAATTGGGGCGTGTTCGGGAATGTGAAGGTGGAAGGAAGTAGAAGTTTGGAAGGAAATAAGTGTGGGTTTAAAGGCACTTGCCGAAAATCGAATGTCTCCACCATGAAATAATTCACACAAATCAGCACGATCAAAAGAATAACCACATATCCAATAAATTAATTGAAATTCGCAAGACTACAACCGTAATTAGGGAGTCAAAAAAACATAAATCAAAGCAAAATCTTTCTACAACATTCTATCCTCTACGACGAGTAGTAGGAGACTTCCCCTTTGGTGTAGCCGTAGTAGTACCCGCCGAAGGAGCAACGGGAAGTGGTTGCTTCTTGCTCAACAAACTCTTCTTTGCTGAAACGTTCCAGTAGTATAACATTTGCATAGCCAGAATAACATTGAGCCCGAAACCTGCGATGAATCCGTAAAGGATTTGGTTGTCATCCACCTCTTGAAGTGTTGTGAAAATTCGGGAGAGGGAGCCGGCGAGGTAGCTGAAGACCTGTTTGCAAGAAAATAATCAGACAGAACTCCGAAAGAGGGATGAAAGGAGAGGGGGGCTGACTGTAACTGCGCTTAGAACACCGGTTGAGCCTTGCTGCCAGTTTGCGAGAATCTGGGGAAGCTTGCTAGCCACTCCAATGGTGGCAGCAGCTCCATTGATGGTATAGAGAGTTGGCATATCGAGAATATCGTTACTGAATAGGGCATATGCACTCGCAGCAAGACCAGCCACGAACAGAGCAGCAGCGCTCGGTTTTCCGGTATAGTTCAAAACCAACACCGCAATCACCACATTCTATCCCAAAATCAGTATTTCTCCAGCCATACCCCTTTCTATTGTACCAACCTGCGCCAAAATCAAAGCATTCTCTCCATATGTACTAAAGGGGTTCTCCTGTCGTTTATTGTATGCTAACCCAACTAGCAAAGCGCCTGTCTCAAGGAGATACGACAAGAAACTAACACCCGCAGCGGAACCCGAGGAAATCAACTTGAGGATCTGCGGAACTTTGACGATGGAAGAGGCAGCAATTATTCCTAGTCCGAGACCCTTCGAGATGCCGAGTTTAATGCATTCTGTAGATGTGACGTCGATATCGAGGAGGAGAGTCTTGTAGCACTTTTCGCCCAGGAGAGTGATGCCGAGTTCTTGGACTGGAGCTGGGAGGTTTTGGGTGATGGGTTGAATTACTTCGCGGATAGAATCCATGATGGCGGATGGATGGGGAGCTGAAGGGGGGTGTTTTCAGCGAGTTGGTGAGATTTCTGGGTGGGTTGAAGTGAACAGGTTGCGGTGCCTTGGAGAGGAATTGTGAAGGAGACAAGGCTACCACAGAAGGAGAAGGTTTGGAATTCGGCGATAACTTCTTATATCCGTTTGGCATCCACACTAGGGAGTATATTATTCCGATCCGTATACACACTAGGGAGTATATTATTCCGATCCGACGGCACTAAGGAAAGTTTGTCGGCAACGTCAACCGTAGACCGCGTCTGAATGAATGATCAACCATCAACAGTTTGATTGAGTTGATCTGGGTGGCAGCCCCCGCAACGCACTTTGTGAAAGGGTTGGTCCCTTTCGCTCAGTACGTAGCTGTAACTGTGATGAAGAAGCCTTCACTCATTGAATTGTCTGTTCTGCTGTAGTGCAGTGCGCGCAGTCAGTTGAATTGGTCTGCATCTGGCAAGTCGGTTGACGTGGTGTGGCACGCAACACCGATTCAAAGACAAAGGCCTGTTCTTGGGTCTGATTCTGCGGAGATCTAGTCAGAGTGAGATATCAGAGGGGTGCCATGGTGTTATTTCATACCTTTTTCCTATACTATCAGCATGTCGGCGAATGTGCACGTCAGTGAATTGGCACATCTGCCGCTGCAGTATGGCCACCTCTGATGCGGTAGTTGGGATGGCTGCTTTCATTGTGTTGGTGCGTTATCAGAACTCTCTCTTTGTATATCTTCCTCAGAATGTTTTGGAATTGGTGTACAGAAAACTAAAAAGCAAGGTGGCAATGTCTCTTGCAAAATTGGGAGACGCTGCAAAGAATGGGGAGTGGAGAGGTTCAGGAGCTTGATTGGAGGTAAACATTGGATGATTCCTGTTGCCTCGGTCACTTGAACTTCGCCTTCATCTAGCCTGCTTCAACCACGCGGATACTCGACCGCGTCAGCACGCCTTTGCTATCGAGGAGGGTTGATGTCTACCTTTGGGCGATGATACGAGGAGATAGGCATAGTCATGTATCATCACATTGCATAGACATAGTCATCACAGGAAATCAAGTCATGATAGTGGTGTTGTAATGTCAATTGCATTTCATCAACCAAGCAGAGGCTCGACCCAGACGCCAGTGGGCGCCGTAAATATATTCAATTCTATTTCGATCATCCCCCAACAACAAAACGCGAAGACGGAGACCCACAAACTATTCAAAATTATGGTTTGTCTGGGTATTTCACGTCAAACTCCTGAATTTTCTCTTGAGCGTTTCCCAGATGCTCCTCAGGCTCCCATGTGTTTTGCTTGTTGTCATATCCAACCCAATGAACGAGGTAGAAACGCTTCTTGCGCACAAGCTTTGAGTCAACAATGCTATCAACATCGTACTCAATCTTTGCGGGCTTGCGGGCGGCGGTCTTGGTCTTGGTCTCCTTCTGACAACGCATGATATATAAGCATAGCATCAAAAGGAACTATTGAAGCCGAAGATGTGCTTACCACTTTCTTCACCCCACGCTTCGCCGTCTTCTCCTTCACAGCCTTCTTCTTCTTCGCAATCTTCTTCCCGGCCTTCTTCTTCGCGGCGACTGGGGCAGGGGCAGCAGGCTTCGGCTTTGGGCTCTATCGCGGTGATATATTAGTATCGCGATGTTGTTAGTCAAAGGTCAAGGTCAAGACAACTTACTAGTTCGGCAACTCGCTTGGAGCGCGGGGTAGCAGTAGACAAGTTCATGTTGATGTTTGTTTGTATGTGAGACTTGGAGACGAGGCAGAGTACCAGAGACGAACAGAACAGACACCGATTGTGGTGGTGTTGATGAGAAGGAAAAGAAGAAAAAGCGTGTTGTTGCCCTCGAAGACAGCCCTTTATAGACGTGTTTACGGGTGACTCGCGCTTTACCTAATGGGGTAATGGTGGGAATAGGGAATTTGCTCAAACTGCAAATCACGTTTTTCTCGCTCGCTTGAAGAGCTCTGAAAGGGCTTTTCTTGTCACGTTTTTCTTCTTGGATTGTATTCCGTGGTTTCCTTTATTGTAATTCGCGTTCTAAAAGCTGGGAAGTGTGGTTTTGTGATTTTGTTGCTCTTCGCAGTTTCCCAGGTGACAATGTATCGTAGAGTGTTTTTCCCTTCTTTCTTTAAACTTTTTATAAATTTTAGAGATATAGAAGGAAGAATCGTTGAAAAATCCCTTTTCTTCAGTACTCTTGGAGAATATAGAAATTACAAAGTCCTTGCAATCTTCTCTTAGAAATTCTGATTTCCCAAATTTAAGAAATTTCGCATATGGTCTTCAATAAAATCACATTTCCTTAACTATCTTATACACCAGTATTCTCAAAGAATACGATTTTTAGGATGACAACTTGTGGTTTTCTGTGTGTTTTTGGAAGATACGTGTTTGCAAAGCGATTAACTTAAAGGCGTGGGTAATGGGATTTCTTTGAGGCTTTTAAGGGGATTATAGAGGAGGTTAGAATAAGTGTTTTTTAGGTATTTTCGCGGATTTCTTAAATTGGAATTCTATTGTTCAGATCTTTTCTTATAATACGATTAAGGGGTAGTGCTCTTTTGGTGCCCCTTTCCAGGTCAAAGAGGTATCTTCGCGTAAGATATAAATCCCTAACCTTCATCCCTTAACCCTCTAGCATATTACCGATATCCTGAATGTAGTAGGGAGTGTATATAGAAGCTAGGAACAAGTATTCTTCATAGCCTTCTACGGATTTTCTGGTTTGGAAGTTTGTTGTTTTGTAGTTTTGGGGGGATGGGATTTGGAGGAGGGGGTAGTGCTCTTTTTTGTGGTGGTAGGGGTGGTGTTTATCCCAAGGTTTAGCGAGTCAGCGACTACGTTCTTGGCTTTTTTAGCGATATAAAAGTATATCCCCTCCTGCACCTTTCTGTCTGGCTAACGCGAGGAGCAAAGATGTTCACACTCGCTATTGTCGGTGTTCTGGGCGGATGGAGGTCACTATCTCCTTCTCCTGTCCCCGCCTCCCCTTGGCATGAGAACGTGGAGGTGAAGCGGGCGAGGGGGGAGATAGGCAGGCATATACTCTTCGCCGGCAGTGGTTAGGTGTTTGGTTTGGAAGAAGGGGGATCTTCCTGTAGTTGGGGGTATATATATATCTTTGAAAGGGGGTTGTTGGTACTTGGGATAGAAGTGAAGTCTTGACTAAAACCGAGATCTCACGGGGATCCGAATTCTTAGAGAAAGACCCCTTTGAACGAACTACAAGCGAACCCTATCAAGCGATACGATGGCTTTGCCGTGCGCCCAGATACTGTCTGGTTGGCTCAACGTTGTCCAAAACCGAATGTGGTGCCGTAAACTTTCAGAAATTGGAAAGAAGGCGGGGTGTATATATACGCCCCAAGTTTCCTTCGATTCCGGTACTCTGTAAGTCTGGAGTAATGAGTTAGAAAGCAGGAGGATCGAGTATGTTTGGGATCTTGGATTGTGTGTGAGAATGATGTTTTTGCGGGGTGTGGGATGCTGGAATGTTGGAAGTAAATATGAGAATTGTTTTCTTGGAATTCTAGGGAGTGTTCAGTTCTACGTCTGCTTCAAATTTTGTTAGACTGAAAATTTGGGATAACGAGATTTAAGGAGAGACTTTATTTCCTACTGTTGATTTCTGATGGGTTTCTTAGATGAGGTTCTTTGGAATGTAGGGAATATTGAATTCGGAAAGTTCCATGAAAGTTCACACTATACGAAATTTCTTGGTTTACATTATTCCCCTCTAGATCGTCTAATTCTGTTATTCCAGAGTATATGGATTGATGGAACAAGGAAAGAAATCATTCCTTGACCAAGTGGTCTTGGATACGAGATTGGCATATTGTGACAGTTTTTGATTTAGTGAATAAGGGTTCGCTTAGCGAAGTTGCGGGTGTACCCTTCCGTAGATAGACAAATACCTGAGGAGTGCGAAGAGCGTCTCTCTTCCCTCCTTGCGAACAATCTAATCCTTGATCCCCACCATAACATATTGTTCGCCAGCTTTTTTACTCGTACAGCGTGCACATCGTCGCTGTACCTATTGCCCTTGAAATACCTTTGCCATCGCCCATCGCCCATCGCCCATCGCCCATCGCCCTTGCCACTCGAGCTCATCATGCCTGTATTCACAGTTGAAGAACTCCAAGCTGCCGTTGATAATGGTACGCTTGGAACTTTCATCACTGATAACAACGACACCTTTCAGCAAGGCTTACGTGACCTGCTCTCGCTCTATAATCAAACCACCATCGACAAGAACACTGCAGAACAAGCACAGCACATCGCTGAGCAAGCTCAACAAGCCACTGAAGCAGATGCTCTACAAGACGCCAACGAGTACAATCGACAAGTCACTGAGTTCAACAACCGTATTGCGACTCTCAACACTGAGATCCAACGTCTTCAACACCTCCAAGCTACTCCTACTCCTACTAGTAACCCTCAAATCAACGAGTTACGAAACCAAATCGAACAACTTCGAATTCACCAGAATGCCCCTGCTCCACCTATCCGATCCGTCCCCCACGCAGACCCGGCCAAGTTTGGCGGCACCCGTAGATCCGCTATCGAGCTACGATCATATATTATCGACCTCAAAGTCAAGCTTCGCACTAATGCTGACTGGTTCCCAACTGAGCTAGAACAAATGACTTATGTCCTATCAACCCTAGAGGGAGAGGCACGTAAGCACATCGACCCTCACCTCAACGACGCCGGCGAGTTTACTACTTTGAACTCTGTAGAAAGTATGCTAGACATCCTCCGTAACACATTTGGCAACAAGTTTAGTCGCGAGGAGGCTTTTGCCAAGCTCCAAAAGGAGAAGCAGGGCCACCGACCAGCTTCTGAATTCCTAGAGTCCTACCTGTCACTAGCTACTACTGCTAACTCTACTGGATTCGACTTTACCCAGAGACTCGTCCTTGCTATCCACCCCTCCATTCGGGACCGTATCCTTTCAGGCCCTCGCTACACCTCGGCCATTGAACTTAACGCCTTAGCTGACCTGATTCGAGAGAAAGACAAAATCAACCGAGCTGTCCACGGCACTCAGTACCTTAAGAGTAACTCTGGCCTCTTCAATGCTACTCCGTACACTCTAGCGTCTACTTCCTCACCCTCTGACCCTGATGTAATGGACCTGGATGCTATAAAGGTTGGAGGAAAGTATGTCTGGACTTGGAAGGACGTTGAGGACAAGACCTGGGCCAAGACCCCTGAGTTGAAGGCCGCCCGCAAGAAATTCCAAATTGAGCACAATCTCTGCCACTACTGTGACGAAAAGACACATAGTCTTCAGGGTTGCGACAAGTTGAAGGAAGCTCGCCGCCGGAAGGAGGAGCGTGAGAAGGGAAAGAGTAAGGATGAGGGAAAAGCCTAGTCTCTGTCAACAGTCGCTGCCAGAGACGTGGAAGTCGGAGGAAGGCTTTGATGTTGTCGCCACTAGAGGAAAGGCAGAGAGAAAGTGTGATGGAGGTTCCTTAAAAATTAGTTAGTACTAATAATACAAAACCTTCTACCACCTACCTTATGCTTGACTCTGGCGCTTCAGCTGAAGCTTTCATCGATTCTGACTATGCGCAACGGAACAACTTTACTCTTGAACCTCTAACAAAGCCCCGCCGCCTT